TTCTAATAATACATCTCAAGCTGCTTTCTATCTAAAGTTGATATTTTAGATGCCAAATTGGTTTGACATCTGACAATGAATGTATCTCTCTATGGCTAGTGCATCTATAGAATCAATATCTGCAGTGCAGTCTAAAGTGCTGCCATTATTGCCATCTGTAGTATTGCAATCATTGGCAGACAGAGGATCTAATAGATGGATCAGTGATTGGGCCTCATCAATACTATATTTTGCACTATTGAGGCTGATATTATTGTCATTCTCTGTTAGTGATCTATCTGAACTTACATCTACTTCTCACTCTGATGTTCAAATGCTGAAGAAGAAGTAAACAAAGTTGGATGAGAGTCTCAAGAGCTTCAAATAATCAATAAGTCTTCTTCAGAATAAGCAAGTGACTTTAGGTTCTATATACTGAGATAAAGAAGATAGAGTTAGATATGCAGTGAAAGAGATAAAAGTACTATTACAAGCTCAAGATGCAGAAGCTGCAGAATAAGAGACACTATCACTGAATAGAGATAATAAGAGTCTAGATGCAGCCGCAGTTGTTATTAATAAATGAATTTCTAAATATTATTAATATATCTGATCTTGCATTCAGCCTTACTAATATTACTTCTATATCTATGGCTGCTGCATTGATGCCTCCTTTTGCTTTCTATCTCTTTTTGTATATAATAAATAAAGTTCAACTAACTCTAATGCAATATCAACCTGCTGCTATCCTTCTAATAATATTTTCTGATTCTTTCACTTCTATCCTGTTAGATGCTGTCAGCTCACTTGACCACTTTGCATATGTCACTTTCTTGTAGGGTAATACATCTGATCAGAATAATCACAATATCTGACACATGAAGCAGGAAGTTACTAACATTCAGTAAATCATACATATGTCTTATATATTCTATAGTTATTACTATAAATATATCATGCTACAGCAATCTGATAATAATATAGTACTAGTATATTTAGGTGTAAATATCTAAGAAAAATTTCTAAGTCAAAAATAAGTGTACATGAAGAATATGGCTCATCAAGTGATAACAGAATTGAGTTTCAGAGGTAGAATAGTCAGTATCCTCCATATTCTCTCTGAGACCCTCCTCTGTTCCATTCTCCTTGCTTTCATCAGCAAATCACTCATAATTCTCATTGTTATTATCTATATTATGAAGCATCTTTTGCTAGTCATTGTTATTACTGATCTCCAAGCTGATAATTAAGTTATGAATACTTAAGCAGCATCAGATCTATAGAATTACTCAAAAGTAATGCTTATAACTAAAAATCTGAATCTAAAGCTTTCAAAGTAACTGAAATTGACTCTTCAGTAGTCAACTAGCATGCTCAATATGAATTCAGATTCTGCTCAGATAGTAATGATATCTATCCTAGTTTTATGAGAGCTGCTGGCCAGAGAGTCTTTTAAATGGAGCTGCCAATCATGTCTCAGAAATATAAGCAGAATCTGCCCAAACTCATTTATCTAGTCTAATAAATGCATATAGATTCTTATACAGTTGCAGATCTTGAAATGCAGTGAAGTTATAGGCACTGCCACTATATTCCATAATGTAATTGACAATCTGAAGATTATGAAAGAGGATGATAATCTATAGAGTAGATTATCATATGCTCACTATATATGAATAGCAAGTTACCTGTAATATCATTGCATAGTTTTTATTCTTGTTGAACCAGGTCTCATTATAGAATTCTGGTTTCTGAAACAAGTTAATAGATATTTCATCAATGGCACTGATATCTCCTTGTCACTCTTCACACTCTGATTGTTCACATGCATATGCTCTCACTGTCACTTTTCACTTTTTGGTAGGTATTCTTATAGCCTCATCATAGAATTCTAATAATGCAGTTGTTACTCACTTTGTGTAGTTGTCCACTATTTCAACTGAGACACCTGTCCACTCAGTTATATCTGCCAATAATGTCACATTTCTGTAGTATCCAGTGCAGTTTAGATATATGGCCAATTAACAGTTTACAGACATTTGAGTGTTGTTCAAGTTATTACAAAAGATCACATGATCTTTAAGTTTCAGCACCAAGGCATTAAATACTAGTGGACTCATGCAAATACAGCATCAAAAAATATTCTGCATACTAATTGAGAAGTGAGAAGCATAAAAGATGAGAAGGACATTCTACAGATAACACCAAGATATGATTGTGCTCAATTCTATTACACAATACTCTATAGTAATAAATAATTATTTGTAGTTCATCTATAAGATCAGCTTCAATATCTAATAAAGTTGTACTTAAAGTTATAGTATTCTGTGATATGGCAGAGACATCTATCAATACTAATAGCTCTGATGCAACTGAGAGCAGTGAGATGAGCATTATGTCATTGAGCTTATCATTATTGTCTATATAAAAAACTTATAGATGATAAGCAGATATTACATCTCTAGATATATATTGATAATTAATATATAACTATTAGTGCTATCAGAATTAGCCATAGATGAAGAATTTTGAAGATGATCTGAGAAATCAACTTGCCAATCAGTGCTCAGCACTTAGCTTCATATATTAAATTTTATATCTATGCCATTATCATCAATTAATAGAGCCTCAATATATTACTGTCTGAGTGAGTAGAAACTATAATTGATGCAGTTGAGCATAGTTTTCCTCAAGATAATAGCATGGAGAGAGTTGCAAAAAGGTCTGTATGCAGCCATATTGACAATGGAAATATGAAAAGATGAACTGAAGAATGTTGAATTTTCTGGCCTATAATTTATATATGCCCTCATAATTCTTCACACACAATGTCAAAATGTCTTCACTTAGAGAATTATCTATCTTGAGAATTGAGAAGTAATACAGGTTACAGATGAGCACTAAGAGTTATCTTTTATGCAGCAGATGTGAACTTTAAAAGAGGCTATTATCATAATGCCACTTTGTGCAGTTTCAAAGTGGAGAATGTTAAGAGAAGAAGTATAAGCAATATATCTAGATTGATATATTCTGTCACTATAGCTCCTAAGTAGTATGAAGTGTGAATCATTTATCTTTCTAAAAGAGCTTCTGTAGCCTAATAGGCATAAGTCTTGGTAAGTGTATCTGAGAGTTTATTAGAAAAATGTCTTTAAACACTTTTACTATTATTAGTTCAAAAAGTCTCAAGTTTTAAGTACAGTGCCAGTAGCAAAACCTTAATGACAGACTGGTGGCTGTATATACTATACAATTTTGAATAGTTCATTGGTCCCTGTGATATGTGACATGGCCTAATAAAATGTTTAATTTGTTAGAGCATCAAGATTCATATAACTTTGAGCATAAATTTAATTGAAAATTAGTATTTCCTTCAGTATTTGGCTCCAAAAGTTACTCACAGTCTATTGCAACTCAGAAAAATAAAAGTAGAGAGTAAGAACCTCTCCGAGAGATGCAAATTTGGGATATTTAATACTAACTTCTCTAACCTCATTTATTTTTATGCCCAGTGATCTGTGATATTGGCCAAATTTTGTCACATCAACTGTCCCTGTGATATGTGACTAATAAATTATTTGAAATTGTACAGTACTTTGTATATGCTTAATCTAGAATAGTGCTGCATATAAAAGTCCTAGAAATGTAACTTACAGGTGTAAGTTATATCTGGAACCTTTGATGTAAAAAAGGAGTGTAAGTTACAGTTTTTTATAGGCTATGGTTACTAGCATTTACTAAGGTTAGGGTTCCATTTCTTATTGTAAAAAATAACAAAAAACAGTAAAAAAAGTGTAAAGAAATGTACAGTGTCACCCAAAGATAACACCATTGCATAGACTTCAACTCTGTGATGCCAACATAAATAGCGACATATAGAAGTAGCATATATTATATAAGTAATATGTACATTAAGCCTAAGAGTCACCTTCAAATGAATCCAGCAAGGATGCTTGCTTCATCGATGGCTGGCTCTAGATCTCATCAACCAATGGTTCATCTGCCAAGACCTCATGAACTAGAGACAGTCTGAAGTTAATTTCTGAGTTGTCTTCTATTACAAACTCATTGCCCAATTTCACTGTTGCTCGCAGTTCTTGCATCCTGTCATCTTGCATATGATTGAGCTTGTTATGATGTCCATCTTCAGGAATAAGATCATTACTGAATAATGTATATAGCTTCGATAAATTGTTCTGGGGTGCACAACCTTGAAGCTCATAGTACTTTAAGATAGGTTGTGGAAAACCATTCTTATATATCTGAAACTTGAATTAGCATGTACATACTAGAACTCAAATTTATCCAGTATCTGACCTGCATAATCTCGCCACTGCAATACTGTCAGATCTGTGCCATATCAGTCATTGTCCAAACATTCTGACAAGCCCGGTGTGGCAAAGTAAGCCATGTAATAACTGATACTGTTCACTCATCAGCCATCAAATGGGGTGTGACTGAGTAGAGCTTGATGGCGGTCACCTAAAAGAATATATCAAGTTTTCAAGTCATCAGTGTTTTATACAGTGATTACAAGTGCTCCATGGGCATGCCGACTATTCATGGCTCTAGAGATCTTTTTTAGCACATGCAATCATTTTTGCAACCATCACTGATAGTCTCAACAAGTACTAACCCGCTCCCACCCTGCATCTATTATTTACCTTTTTTTTTTTACCTATCCTTCTAGGGTACTGTACATTTTTGAATGGTTCACTGATGCTTGTGACCTGTGATCTCACCTGGCGAAATGTTGAATTCGTCAGGTCATCAGGGAAGGTGTGACTCCAAAGAAAAAATCATCTGATTTTTAACCTACCTTTCAGCAACTGGTTCTGAATGTCAACCACAGCCTATAGCAGGTCAGCAAGAGAAAGTATAAGGTGAAGAATGTCACCGTAAAGGTGCGAGCCTTTGGGCGCCTAATGTCATCCTCCAAAAGCGTTCATTTTCATAGAAGGTGACCTGTGACATGTGCCAAATTTCGCCACGCCCAATGCCCCTGTGACGCGTGACCGGCGAACTGTTCGAAAATGTACAGTATCCTGTAAATAACTGTAATTTACTGTAATTTACTATGTAATTTACACCTATGTAGGTTACACCCCCCTTTTATACGCAACACTAGTCCGGAAGTCTTTGCCTTTCCGGCGCAACCCACTTTGTCAAGGCTCCAAACACTCGGAATATCTATGCATTTGCACTGTGCGGGATCGCTAAGCTTATGAGCAAGTACTGGTGATATCGTTGCTAATTCTGCAACTTTTATGATGCTCAAACTTCCCTAGCCCTCTCTAGATCCCTGACTCTCTCTATTCTCAATAAGTTGATCCTCATCCCTTGCTTTGCCTCTTCCACATTAGGCTACATTATCTAGATCGTGAAGACTGCACAAGCTCGCTTCGATCATAAACTTTCGAGGGATCGTGCACGCATAGTCTCGAATTGTCTAGGGCGGAAGCAGGATCGATTTGAAAGGGAACTTTTCGTTCCGCGACGGAACGGTAATGGCGACCAGATTAACCGCTCCGAGTTGCGTTCAAAGCAGACAGGTCAGTAAAACTTACACTTCTTATGATGTAGGCGTGCAATTCCAGACTTTCCGCGCGGACGACGTATCCGAGTCATTGTTCTCTGGAAGACTATATAAGGCATCGCAGAACAACCTCTTTTTTTTTAGCGAAGCAGCAGCAACATACAGACATCCCCCTCCCCGCCACAATATAAGCCCATCATGCGTTCTTCATTTATCGCCATTCTCTCAGTCTTTGCTACCACAAGCTCCCTCCTCGTAACGGCAGCTCCGACGGGCTACGTAGAGGTGTCACCGTACGAGTTACCCTCTGACTACAGCGTTTCCTCCCGAGGATACGCTACCCCTCCTGCTCATAAAAAGCGAGGTCCCGGAAGAGGTGGGAGCGCAGGCTCCGGCAGGACAGGCAATGCGGGCGGCGGAAACGTCATCAACAGCGGAGGTACTGTGACGAATGTCGCAGGTGCAAGTACGTCATGTAGTAAGACCCGAAACGTGTACCGATTCTAAAGTGCGTTGACAGACGTTGCTCAGGGCGGTGGTACTACGCAATCGGGTACCGCCACTGCAGGCAACAGTGGCACCAGCCCCGGCGATGGCGGAAACGCTTTCTCTGGGAGTACCGGTAATGCCCAAGGCGGTACCGTCACCAACTCAGGAACCACTATTAATAACTCTGGAGCCGGAGCTAGTGAGTACAGCGTCATCTGTTTAGTTTCTGTGGTGATTGAAAGGACGATTCTTCAGATACCTCCGGCATGGGTGGAACTGCTCGCAGCGGAAATGCCCGAGGTGGTAACGGTAGACGTTAACTCACCGCGTCATAGCTATAGGATTATCACAGACATTTTGGAGATACGGGAGATGTTAGTAAACATTTGGGACATGACAGCTAAACCGTAATTCTTTGAACCTCGCTTGTAACGTAGATACACATTGGATATATTTTCGAACCTGTTTGGAAAGCCTGCTTCTTTTCGCGTTGAACCAATGCTTTGAATTGAATGTATGGCACACTGGTTTCTTAATCCATAATCCGTATAGAAACGGATACGTCTTCTACATTTAATTTATTTTTGGAACTCGCTTCGAAGCGAGCGACGCCCTTTTACGCTCACAGTCGTCTAAGCCATTCCCGTTAGTCTGTCTGATACTGCTTTTACCATATGTAAGGACGAAAGTGTGCAACATGAAAGCCGAACAAACTTCAAGATGGTCTAGAGAAAGTGTAAGCTGAAACATGCAATGGAGCGAAGAGAAAATACGTACGGAATAACAACCGTTCTCCCACCGATCAATATCAGATATCTCGCGAAGATACCACGTAGTATTCCAGAGATTGGACACTGATGCAGCAGACTCGAATATACATCTCCTATTGCCTTTCCATTTACACCTTCTCATGCGTTTACAACACTGGATCTGCTGCTCGAGCGTACTTATGTTCGCACTTCCTGGTTCGGGCAGCGAACGAAATGACATCGCCATGTCTTTACCCCCTGGACCCTACGAGCAGCACCCTTGACCCAAATACGGCCGACAAACGTGCTCAGTAATTAAGCACCTCGCCTGAACGGTCGGCACATAGATAATACACCGCCTATTCCGCAACATCCGCGACACGACTCTCGTCCCTTGTCGTTTCCACTTCCGAAGACAACAGGTTGGGTGACTCATAGCCACATCCTTGGCTAACATGCATGCGATCACAGCAGATGTACCGACTGTGGCCAGCAATCGTATATGCACCGACGGGCAAACCCAATACGACAATCGCAGGTCATGCACCTCGGGGTTGAAGACAGACCATCCAAATGAGATGATCCTTCGTTCATAACAGCGTGGAACCACCATGGGTATGTATACGAATGAATGAATGCCAAAGCGGCCCGATAAAGATATCGAGGAGAACGGAATGGATTGAAGAACATGCTACACACCCATTCCCGCAATGATATTTCGAGGATGACCCTTGTGGACCTCCTATTAAATCACTGGATCTTTGGTCTTTTGAGAGAAGGCTCGTGTTGCTGGTATCATCGCTCGAGCAATGATGCTCGATCCCACCTGGAGATGCTCAAGGGGAATACATTTAGACCTTAGCCCACTCGCAATGAAGAACAGAAAATGTTCTTGTGGGACGAGTGCCGTGGCTTCGAGTCTGCTGCAAGCGGTTGTCAAGAGACAAGCTAGATTAATTTAGATTGAACCTGGTTGGGGGGATTGCGTGGGGAGCAGTGTCCGGTCCGACTGCCATGTCAGCCATGTTGTGTACCCTTTGAATTCGATGAGGGCCCTGTACGATAGACTACGCGAATTCCAGGACGGAGAAAACTGCTCCAAGTGAATCACTGGTACCACAGATTTGCGCTGAAATCGCCTCCTCTTTGCGAGCTCCTTCCACTGCCAGAGACTTGCCATTTTAAGAACGTACGGATACCTCCGAGCACAATTTCCGGCGCCGGCGCCAACGTCTGCTCTTCGCAAGTTGTCGTTAGACGCTGCCAACCCTCACCGAACGTCAAACGCAACAGCTTAGGCTTTCTTGCATCTTCTTAGGAGATTCGACCGTCTTTAGAATATCTAGCATCACAGGAAATTGCTGTGTCTTCATGTTCTTCACGCTCTGCAGTCCTCGTAGCGGGGTTTAGCAGGGCATCGCGGTGGCTGCAGCGTTGTCCTGGTAGAGATAGTTGCTGTTACTTTCTGCCTGTGCAGTTGCCAATTGATCCTTGTATTTCCCTGTAAACGCGAGCTGTGCATCCGAGGCACCCAAAGCACGGCGATACGTGTTCTATAGACCTAGTGTCAGAAGAGGTTGCACCTGAACGGATTCATTCGAAGTATGCCGTGTGACCCAGGTCGTAATAATGCATTGAAGTGGATAACAAATGCCGAAGGCAGCGCCAAACGGTTCAATCTCTCAGCGTGACAGCTAATAACGACGAAGGAAGGCTCTCGGCTCGTTTACATGACCAACAAACGAAACCAATAGGTGTATTCCTTCTATATGACGAATGAATTTAAGCCTGGATGCGTTCTAACGTCACAGGGAATCCAGGTTGGTTACTGTACTTCCCTACGGTGGGGTAATAAACGCCCGCGAGATTCCAGACAACGTCCTTTGTCACATCGGCCAAAGATATCTTGAATGATGAGACGATGGTAGCCAACACGACCTCTGGTCTCCCTCATCAGTAAAGAAATGCAACAAGGACAGTACAGAAGATACTTACTCATTTCCAGCTGAGAGAACTTGAAGCCTCTGTCGGAGGGCGTCACGCTATTAGGGTAGTACGACAAAGACAGGTACACTTACATGCATGCTCTTCCGCCGCCGTTAAACGTCATTCTGGTCTACTATCAGTGACAAATTTCGTCATGGTACTGTTAACTCACAGATTAGAGTACACCCCTGGGATGTGAGCCTCCATCACTGTTGCAGGCAAAGGAGACAACCAACGCTCAGGTTTGAATTCTTTGACGTCGTCTCCCCAGACATTTTTGCTGTGGTTCACCGCGCGAATTCCAATGATCACGGTTGTACCTGCAGGCACCGGGATCTCAGTCATTGTGGTTCCATCGACACCAGCGATCGCCTCTGAAAGAGGCATGATGACGTCCTTTCGGGTCCTTCGAGTCATGTCAGCCTTCCACCAAAAAAGACTTTGAGAATGCAAACGTACTCTCGGAAAATGAAGCTGACTGGTGGGAAGCTGCACAAAGTCACGATAAATGACACAGATAGTTAATGGGAAGAAAGCTTACAGTCGTAGTGTCTCTCGACATAAAGCGTCCATGTACGGGAGAGACACAAGATTGTCGTATGGTATATCTTCGCCGTACTGCTCTTTAGCCTGCTGAATCTCTGACCGTAGTTTATCTTGAATGTTTGGGTGCTCCGCTAATATATGTATGAGCATAGTCAACGCGTTCGATGTTGTGTCCGTCCCCGCCTGAACGAGAAGACTTTGTGCATCGTGGAAGTAAGATCAAGCTGTAATAAAATGTACCGGTACGTACGACATCTGCCCGATAAGCTCATCTTCTGTCAGGCGATCTTCTTCCGAAGCCTGCATGTTTGCTTGCACTAATGTGAAATGATTATGATGAGTGTTTAATTCGAAAAAGAATTCGGAACATACTAAGGATGCTCATAATGTCTTTTCCTTCACCAACTTGTTTCAGGACGTTCTCCCCACCAGCTTGCAAAGCTTTCTTTTTAATGAAGTAAAGGTTCCTAGCCTCATAACCCAAGATGGAAACCACTTTTTTCAATCGTTGAAGATCTGGCAGAGGCAACCAATCGATCATTGCTGACCGGAATGCAGGCGAGCCGATCTTCTTGACGTGCTTTAGGAGGAACTGTAATTCAGCATTGGCAAATAAAGCCGGCCTGAGTGGATGAAAAGTTGAGTCAGTCACAATATAGTAGCGCGAAGAGGCAGAGCCTACAGAAATTGCTTGAGAGCTTCGCCGTATGGATTTGGCATAGGTGTGTCTAGTGAATCGAGGGAATAGCCCAGACCACCTTGGCCTATCAACTCGAGAGCAGTTCGGCTGAACCAGTTTACCATGTTTATAGTAGTTGGGACATCTCCTACTTGTGTTTCCATAGCAGAGCGTAACTGAATGTGTTCAGTTGACGGCGACAGTGAAGTTGGAGGAATCCACTCACTCGATGAGCCACTCCATAAAACAAAGGAGTGAGAGTTCGCATATGCTTGATAGAGAACGCAGGGTTGAGCATTTTGCGCTGTCGCCGATGGTGAGCCCCTTGATTTAAGAACGGTCAGCTGGGAATCTGTAGTCGAAGCATACATGGATAATAGCTACCGTGGACTCCAAGAAGACCTGGCCCTGTAGTGAGCTTAACACCGCTGACATATAATTAGCGAATGCTCAATTTAATCGTGAATCTATCCTACTCGGTCAACCATTCTGGAAGATCATATATGTCTGCCTCCTTGATGACAACCTGATGTAAGGCCTTTGGATCAAATACGTACAACATTCTATGCTACGTGGCCCAGGACGTGAGCATTCTAGCTTCATGATGATATCTGCCACTCACGCCAAAGAGACCCTTCAACTTGACCACCTTATTGTATTTCTGGCCGACTTCGTCTAAGAACTCCCAGCCATCCCTGTTCAAGAGCTGGCCGAGGTTACCTATGGAACAAAATATCAGTAAGCCTTGCGTGTTGCTAGAGAGGGTGTATACCTCTCATTAGAGATGGAGCTGTGGGCCCAGGCACATTATCTATAGGTGAACGAATAAAGACACTTCGGGCAGCACGCCATATCAGCCAGGCAATACTGCTAATAGCGAGGATCACGAGGGAGTTCATAGCAGAAATACGCCTGAATGCAGTCTAATAGTGAATGTACTAGATGCGATGGATGCGTTGGCTAACACGCTGGGAAGTTTAGCCTTTCTACTTACGTGCAGATTATATATCGAACGATACCTAGAGATATCTCCGGGCCCGATGGGACATCGTAAACAGAACGCCAGATACCTCCGTATTGTGATGCCAGTACCACGATGGCTGAGTAAATCTTGGGACAGTTGTCCAATTTCTATTTCGATTTCTTATCTTCCGTGATTGGCCGACAGGTGCCACCCAGAGGGAGATAACTGGATAGCCGTGAACGATGTACTAGGGTTATAAGTCGCCACATATATCGATACCTAACGAGATAAGAGCGCGGCCGCATTAGCCGGCTACGGCGTTGAAAGACTTTGAACCATACCCACATTGATCCTAGAAATAACGACCTAGGTAAAGCTCTGCCCCGAAGCATGTCAGGCACAGAACTCCAACAAGTTAGAATGATACCAAACTTGTGCCAGCAAAGCGACACCTGACTAGGATCAGTGAGCGATTGCAGGAATTGGTATACGATTATACGAAGGCGCGAAAATATACTATTCGATATCCATGGGCTATATCCTTATCATCTGCGTTGTTGATAAGACAGCTGATGGAATGGGAGAGTAGGCTTACGTGCAGGCGTAGTACGTATTACTTGTTCCGCTGTTGTTGACCCATTTCTACTTACCATGGACTGTAGTGAACGGGGCCCGGATTCGACGTTTCCTGATTTAGTGAATATATGATTCTGTTAATAAGCAAGAGTCCTGCCATATCGTTAGTACTGTTGTTGGTGCATGATAGACAAAGGTAGTGCTCCGTTGAGTTGTCGAAGGCTTTGCCTTTTTGGTTCAATGGCAAACATGACCAAGCGCTCATGGTGCCACTATGTTCTACAGTCTGATGAGAGGACTGGGGAATATATGACCGATTCGAGCAGACGGACATTCATACTGACTTTCTTTTTCTAATCGACTAGTATATGCATCGTTAACCATTCCTTGGAGTTTTGTTTACTACACTACCGCTATGCTTTTGTACGGCGCCTCACGGAAGATCAACGATCAACAAAGTACTATCGTTGTTATTGATGATTTGGTATGCTACGCTAGACTACCTTCAATTACCCTCCAAAATAATAAGATGTACGAAAGCTCTCCACCACACAACAACATAGAACAAGTTCTACGAGTCTAGGTGAGATCACCCGTATCTATTACCGAACGTGAGGGTAATCAACCAAGAGCATGAGACGAATGATGAAATATGAGATGGAAAAAGGGGGAAACTGAAAGCAATAAGGAGAGGAAGGCTTTGCGATGGGAATGGATGATCGCACAACACATTTGTGAGAAAAAATCATAGAGGCGTCAGATGAGGATGAACAGTTATTGTGCGTGATTTTTAGAGTCGTCAGTAAGTCGAGACCAAGAAGCGAGCCAACAGAGGAAGTGAATGGAACCATTTAAGAACGGCGATCGGAAAACCCTTGCGCGGCCGCACAGTTTATTGCTGTTTGCATTCCTCCGGGTTAACATTCGTCGATGCACCGGCACCGCGACCTTTAGGTGGTCCTCGGCGTCGTGCAGGAATGTCCTCATCGGATTCGCTCTCCTAAAAAAGATGCAATCATCAGGATCTGCGATCCAAAAGATCACATGAAGCACGCCGATACGAACATACCTCTTCATCAAAAGCATCCTCGTCATCTTCGTCATCAAGATCCTCGAAGTCATCCTCATCCTCATCGAGGTCCTCGAATTCCAGGGCCTTACCAGTAAACCAGTCGACAGCATGGGGAATGATCTGTCAAAGGAAGAAGGAATATCATATAAGACTCAAGTCTAACCAAAATAGTACGACGAATGATGTACGGACCTTTTCCTTGATATCTTCGCCAATCTGATAGTCGAGTTCAAGCTTCTCGTCGATTTCCTCAAGCTCCTCCTCGTCGAGGTCACCGCTCTCAACAGCCTCCTCGCTGGGTGGCAAGGGGGGTGCGAAGAAGTTGAAGAACGACTCGGCAGGACGCGCCTTGCGGACGAGACGCGTGCGGTTCGTATCTAACGGAAACTGTAAATGATGGATCTTAGGAAGTCATATGTGTAAAGCTCACTTTTGTTGCGCTGCTTCTTGATCTCGAACTCCTTAGTGAGATCCTTGTCCTCCTTCCACTTAATCTCCGTTCCGATGGCACGATCGTACACAAAGTCACCGCCGTAACCAACTTCCTCCTGATACAAGTAAGTCTTCTCAAGGACCTCGTTCTCGAAGAACTCGTTAGGGGTGAAGTGGAATGAAAGCTTGAACCCGGGCTTGGGATCGGTTGGTGGAAGGTAGTCAATCCGTACGTCAACGAGATGCTTCAACGCGGCAGCATCGCGATCCGTGATGATCTCGTTGAGCACAATATGGTTGCGGAGAGCAGTGAGCCAAAACTCAGGAATACCGTCGGCGCTAGGCTCTTTGCCCTCCTTCGACGGGGGAGTGAATTCCTCGTCTTCCTTTGCTGAGACTTTCTCACCGGCCTCAATCTCCTCAGGGGTAGGCTTGGAGGCACCAGTAATAATCTCCTTTCGTCGTTCGTACAAAGGCTTGTGCAGCTCCGCATACTGAAACCAAATACAGTCAGATCTTGCGATCGGAAGAAAAAAAGCAGAAAAAATGTCCGTACCTTCTTCTCTAGGGCCAGACATTCACGCTTGTACTGGTTCTGCAGCTCGGCCTGCTTCACATGGACGCCCTTGAGGGCCTCCACATTGAGCTTAATCTCGGTGGGTAGGCTCTCAATGTAGCCAGAACTCCTTCCAACAAGACCAGCAAGACGTCCCTGGACGAGACCGAGCATAGTTTGTTGAATGTCCTCAACAGCAGCGAGTTCTTCCTCCTCGTTATCTTCAGTAATATCGGGGACGGTGGGTCGCGAAAGACCCGCCGCGATGGGAGCGTGAGTGAGAGGAGTGTTTTGGGGGGTGGGGGCAGTCGGGTCGCTTTGATTAATGGGGATGGTGGAAGACATGCTGGACGACGAGGACGACGATGAGCTCGATGTAAGTGGTGGTGAAGAAAGATTCTCAAGTCCGCCCCTCATGCTTCCGTCCCATTCAGACGCCCAAAATTATTCTCCCAGGCTTAGGCGCATTCTTTTTCAGCTGCCGACATTACTCAGACTTGCTGCCGAGCCTGCCGATAGCCCAAATATCTACTCACATTTAAGCTCCGAACAATTGATTCCACTGCCGACCAGGGTTTGGGGGAAATCCACATTATGTCAGTTCTAACGTAAACATTCAAATTGCTACACACATCATTGCGTACTGTACATTGCGGCATTGAGTAAGACAACAACTAAGTCTCGATTCACGTGATGCGAGAACAGCAAGGCAACACAGACGAGAGCATGAAGACAACAAACAGTCTATCTTAGATCCTTTCAAAGACGTACAAGTACGCCAGTTTCTTCAAGTCACGAACACTCTCTGCGTCAGCCTTGACGACCTTTTCGTCGTTGAAGAGTACCCAAGCCTCCCCACCAACGTTCGGGTTATCAATGCGAATGTGAGCGACGTAGTGCCCAGAGTGCACGGAAGGACCTTTGTGAGAAATGAAAGCTTTCAGCCTGTACCTCGCGGGGAGGGTGCTTGAGCCTCCAGGGCCGGCTTGTTCGGCTGGAGCTGATGAAATTGGTGCAGATTCTTCACCCATGTCATCTGGATGGGAGAAGAGCCAGTCGACGGCACGTTCAGCATCCCCACCCTACCAAAGACTTAGTCATTGATGCCCCATCAAGTTAATCAGGCAGTACTAACCGTCTCACGGAGTGCCTTCTTAGCTTGTGCGGTAGTGAACCCCATGTCAGCCAACATGTTGACCTGTTCGGCCGAAGGTTCAGCTGCTGACGGGGTGGACCCTGCGAGCTGGATGGGGGCATCGATATCTAGGTTTATTTATTTAATTCACTCGCGTTCGAATTGAAGCCAAGAAGTAAAACATACCAGGATCCTCCATGTGTTGGAATAGCCACTCCATTGCAGCGTTGGGGTCCTCGTTTCCCGTAGCTAGAAGAGCCTTTTGGCAACGAATAGTTGGGAATCCCATCGCCTCCAGTTGAGCCATGGCAACTTCGTTGAATTGAGGCAAATCAGGCGCAGCTAAAAATAGAAGACGTTATTGACGTCAGCAGAAAGCTGCGTCATGCTTGACAATGAACATACCAATCTTATCTTCAGGAAGCGCGACCTCGTTCGCTTGCAACCCAGTACCGAGGTACTCGTCAAGTTGGATGATATCATCCTCAGGCAGGATCACGGGTATATCTATCAGCACATGCTCAGTCTATTGCTGCGACGAGACGATGGCATCACTCACCCAGCTTCGCTGGTACCCAGTTCACGAGCTGGAATTTCTTGGCATGGATAACAAGCACATCAGGGAAAGTAGCGAATTTTGACTGTCTATGATACTCACGATTAGTGGACCGTCGTTCCAAGATAAAAAGGTGTCTTACTTTGTCGCGATGACCCGCTTCTCGCACGAGGGGCAGGTGTACTCCAACGCCTCGACACCGGTCAAAATATCCAGGCACTCCTTCAGCGCAACGTCCTCAAATATTGTCTTCCCCTCTTGATCAGTTCCCTTCTCGCGTTTCGGCACAGGCACACTCGCAACATCTGCCTCATCCACTCTATACCTGACCCGTTTACAGTCACCACACTGCAACCTCTGCTCCATCCCGAACTTGAACACCTCCGTCGGGTCGCGCACCCGGCCTGTCTTCTTTGAATGCCGACGGAGAACATTCAGGAAGTAGGTGAAGAATTCTTCCGAATCTTGTTGACGCATCGTGGAGAACTCTTCGTGACCTTTTCCAATGAGCGCTTTGAACATACTTGGACGAACGCCGTCCTGGAAAACGGGCGTCGGGGAGTCATGTGCGAGAGGGTTGATCGCTTTCGGATCAGCTTGAGCTTGGGGTGCCGAAGAATTGCCTGGCACGGGCCGAGGATGGGAGTATCGACCAGAGAGAAGGCCGTCAGCGAGCTTGTATACCTGGCACTCAATGCATTCGGCCGGGAGTGCTTCATGACAAGACTCCCAGTGCTCTTGAGCAGGAGAGAGGTATCGCTCATAGAAAGCCGGAAGTGAGAACACTGTCTGTAGGACAGATGCCATGTAGCAACTGCACGCTGTTTAGTAAGGGTTGCATACACCGCATATACACATACCTGTTCCCCAGGTTTGCAAGTCCCGTAAGTCCTGGGCCGAAGACGGGCTCTAGCGCCTTTCCGTCTTCGCCAGTAAGTGAAAAGTCGAACTTCAAGTTGTGTTCGATTTGCTGATACAAACACGGTCAACAAGGATTTCCAAGGATGTACCGAGAAAACTCACAAGCTCGGTCATAGACTTTTCAGTTTTTGTTTGGGTTTGAACGTTAATCCCGAACGTAGAAAGATGCGTGGCGAGCTCAGGATCGAGCTTCGCGTCATTGCAGATATAACAGTAGATATCTTATGACCACCATCAGCAGACTCACACTCTGAAAGATGGCATAGTCGTACCAGCGTTACCCTCCGGTGTGATAGTCCCGAGCTTGACGCTCACAGGATGCCGTGTTTCCTCAAAATGTTGCAGTCCGTGTCCGTTGCCGCCTAGTCCACCGAATTGTTGTCGACCACAACCAAGTGAACCACAGGTAAGGCACAGCCAGAGGTTCTCCTTCAGATCGCATTTGTTGCAATGCGCAAGACCTGCATGGATTGTGAGCATTTGCAATGGGACCTGGTGCCAGATCCTTACCTGACGGAGAAATGTGTCCAGTAGCAAGCTGCTCTAGCGTGAGCGTGTGCTCGCAAGGCGTGATCTCCTCCTCCCAAGCCTTGACTTCGGATTGACGAGCAGATGAGAGAGAATGCATGACTCCATCCACGAGGCTCTTGACATGAGAGTCCGATGTAGCATCTGCAAGTTCTGCACCAGTCTCGGGATTGCATTTCCAGCATTTGACAACAGTCCGATGTTCGAATTTATCTTCGTCACGATCTTCAATGATGGCTAATTTTGTTATTTTTGCAGGAGGTTCCTCATCTTCAGTCTGTATTTAAAGATAAGAAGAATGGACTCTTCGGACTTCTAGAGTACTCACTCGATTCGCTGACGGCCTCAGTTTGCGTTTCACGTTCAACGTAAATGAATGTCCAGTTCTAGAGACATGTGTGCGCATATGGTGCCTGTCACGATCTAGGCAAGCTCCAGTAAAACATGTGAGACAGACGTCAACGCCGAGCGGTTGATCCTACAAAATTGTATGGTCAGCTTGGTCGGGAGCGTATTCAGATCTACCTACCTGATTGTCGAAACACTGCGTGCACTCCTCACGGTGAACAGACTGTGATAGTCGGGGAGGCTGTAACTGCTTGAATTCACCAAGATGTGGGCAAGACATCGTGTGGCCGTTATGGGGTAATCGAGGAATCAAGGGTGGGGAAAGTGTTTCGGTTCTGAGGTCTAAGTTAGATTGCAAGCTTTTAATAACAATTAACTTGAAGTTAGCGCGAACAGCACAAGTTGCTGGTATGCGAGATCAAAGTTGTCTATTTCCCAAAGGTTGGACTTGGGTTGGACGTCAATGTTGAACGGATTGGATCTCAGATCTCCATACTTATGTCTTAACTAACTGATAAGATAAGATCTCGGATGATCACTGATCTTCTGCGCCAATAAGGCGATTCTGAAGGCGAACATTCTGCTCAAACTTGGACTAGGCCTCTCTCCTCCCCCTAGCACCAATATAATACGACGAGATTATCTAGACATTATTCATTTACCAATGAAATTTGGGCAATACTGATGACAGGGTCCGCTCACTAAGACAACCGTAGGTGGGAGGACTTAGATAGAAAGTAAGTACATACTATACTTGCACGTAAGGCTCTTCACCTACCATATGCTATCTTATTATTTAGATCCCCTATCACAGGAATCCATCTCACAGTCGTCCAACAATTATTCAGGCGCCTCATACCGGTGGTATAGGAAGTACAACAATTTCTCATTGATACTAGTCGTGTGTCGCTCTGCTTGTGATCCAAAGGGAAGAGATATGTATGAAGGTCTTTTGGCAGAGGCACAGAAGGACACTAAGGAAATCAGCCATGCAGAGTACATCAAATAGATTGAATCAGTGAAGCAACAACTAAGGATCTATTTCCTTGATCACTACTCTTCACAGCCTTCTAATCCATCACAGGAATCCGTGATCAAGAACATGCCTTCAAAATACAACTTTGATGATGACGAACCCATGGATATTCCACCAACTGAGGAGCTCGATGGTTATCTCAAAAACCGCCCACTTAATTTCAATCGTTCCGCTCATGCCTTAGATTGGTGGCATACCAATGCTCAAAGGTATCTAAATGTTGCTCGCTTTGCTTGGGATGTATTGGCAATCGCAGGTGCGTGGATTGTGGGGCTCAATATCCCATGTAATATTAAGTTCTGCTGGTTCCGCCGTTGCTGTTGAGCGTGTTTTTAGTGGTGGACATGATACAGTGTCATTGTGCCGCGCGAGTCTCAAACCTGAGACTATCCGGAAACTGATGCTCGTGAAGCATCGATTACTTCTTGCACATAGAATGTTATCACAAACAGGAAAAGAGCCCGAAACCGCATTTCCATGGTCTAGAATACACCGTTACCGTCAAACTGCTGTTGTAGAACTGTATGGGACCATTACGTGACGCAACGTATACGGATGCGGTCTGTTTGTGTGATTTGATAATACTGGGCGTACTCGTATAGAATCCGTACAGATACGGCGCGTGCACGTATACTATACGATCCGAGCCCTAGAGTGAAGTAAGTACCTCGAGATCAACATCATGCAGAAGAGATACCGAATCAAATTGAAATCTGAAGTGTTTGACTTTTATGGAGGGTGGAGGATCTAATCTAATCTTGACAAATTCTCTACACGTGTAGCGCTGGCTGCTTCGAAGGACTCCTGTTGCCCACCGCGTTGATCAGCCTTCAGCAACTCCCTCATGTTCGACCACATATACTCTCAAAACAATGTCACCTCGTTATTCAGAGCTGGCAAACTGGGATGGAAATATACAGTCTTCGCCGCGTAAAAATACCCTTCAGGCTGCACAACATGCTCAAGCCAATCGTTCGCCTGCCACAACCAGCCTGCAACAAACAACGTCTCATCCTCAATCGTCCGACGCGTTTCCAAACCGCATGACACGAGTCAGATCCTCAGATGACAGTGCAGCTGATGAAGCTTGCGTGGACAACATGCTGTTGCCTTCGAGTCCTGTGGAGGAATCCTCACCATCGCCGGATGTACGCTTAGCACTGCTGATGAATGAAATGAACGCCCAATGAATTTCCCATTCCTAGATGACACCAAAGGGTAATGACCCGATTGTGGGCGACAAGCTCAAGGTTGTAGAATCTGCAAAGGTCCGTGCTCTTCACACGCATCGCCCCGCGTTTTATCAACTACATTCTTTCGTTCCAGGGTACCGATAGACAGCATGATAACAAATGGAATACTGCGTCACCCTTTGTCGACAGGTCTACTGCTGTAGTCTCACGCTATACCACTACGCAAGATGTTCATACCCCGCATGCTCGGTTTGTCAATGCTCATGATCCCCGCACGATGCTCGCACCACTTTTCAATCAAACTACGTTACTGCCGTCTTCGAGTAAAGCTCTCGCCAAATCGGCCGATCAAACTCCTTGCTTCACTGTCGCTGCGGCAAGCAGTTCCTCGAGCAGTCACGTTCCACCTACGACCGACAACGACGCATCTCGGATAACTGAATCTGCTGTGACGCTTTCCACATCTTACGATACATCATCTCTGGATCCTCTACCTCTCTATCCGGACGCGCAGTCTGACCTTATGCTTGCTGCTAACACCCTTCTTGACAAAGAATTTGGTTCCATTCTCGATGACGCCTTCGATGCAGCTCAGTCATCATCCCCAGCTTCTTTGGCATATCCTGAATCCATCCCGGAGGACCGGTTGATGGACAAAAATGCAATGTTGCGTTCGAATGGCACCGATGCAGTGCGCCAGACAACGACTATTGTTTCCGTATCGCGAGATGACTTGACGTCTGTGAATGCGAACGGGTTCAACATCGAGGTATCGCCTTCTTCCAAGGAAATGTTATCTGCCTCTTCAGTGACATCTCCGGAGTTCTCACAAACCCTTCCCGAGTTACGGCAATTACATCATGTGTCGAGTGGACATAGGCCAGCACGGGAGAGTACTCCTTTCGTCCTATTGACTTCAAGTACTCCTCAGTTCTCGGTAATCTTCTCTTTTGTTTCTTTGTTACGATTTGTTACTAAGTGATTGTTACTTCCACACTGCAGGAGCGCGTACATCTGTTTCCGCTTCACCCCGGTATTGAATCCCCTGCCCTACAGAATGCTCTTGCGCCTGTTGCAGAACAGCTCTTATTACCATCCCCAGCTAAGCCGAGATCAGTCGATAAAACTTCGTTTACTGTTCCATGGAGTGAAAAGAAACCTCTGCCGCGGCCTCCACTAGCGGAGCGAATTCAGAGCAATGATTCAGATCCTAGCTCTATCGGGACTACCTCCACTGCACAGGCTACCCGTGGCTCAAGTGTCGTTCCGCTAGAAACACCTACTCTTGAAATTTCAGAGGCGTTAATCTCGCCTACAGGCGAGGTACCGGTACGTAGTGATCTTGAATAGATTCCTACGGTATAGTTACAGTCTGACTCTGTGCTAGGAAACCCCACAGCTTCTTCAGCAGACGGGTGCAGAAGTTTATGAATTATCTCCCGAAATACCTCTGGCGACTCTACCTTTGGCTTCATGTTATACTGAAGATCATAACGACACTTTCGATGTATCTCGCAAGCCCAGACAAGTCGATGATATCGCTCTTTATAGAGCGTTTGTTGTGATCCCGAGTCCGCCTGCAGACTTCGTACGAGAGGAGTACACATCCAACACATCAAAGCTGGATGAAATAGCCAGAGATGAGGCACTCTTGGCTTCGCCGAAGAAGCAGCGTCTCATCTCATCAACGCCGGCGCCAAAGCGCAAGCGGCCCGCCTTTTCACCCTCTCCACAATCTCGAAAAAGGGTCCGACCACAGCCCCTTGAGGAGGAGGGAGTGCACGAGCTTCCACGATTCGCGGAAGGATTCGTTACTGAATGTTATGAAGGTTTCTACGGTCATGACCCACTGGACGATATCCTTGCAGCGGAAGTAGTTGGACTTGCGGATGAACCGTTGTATCCCGAACCAGACGAGTTGGAGATTCGTGCTCTGCGCGTTTCGTTGAGGCATGTTGCTGCTAAGGTCGCCGGTGGACAACTCACTGCTTCAAAAACGCCTTCACAAGCATCAACTGTTCGACCTACTCCAGTGCCGTCAGTTCCTGTGCTCGAGTCTGTCTCGCACACCTCCAAACGCAATGATACCCCTCAGCCGCGGCGCCGTACTGCTCGAAAGAGGAAAGCTGCAGAGCCTCCTGCGCTGGAGATCAAATGGACTAGTCCCGCCCGTCCTGAAACCTTCGTAGCGTCATCATTCAAGGACCGTCATAAAGCATCTCAAGTCCGTTCTACAGCACCTTCCGCATCACCTCCAACGGTTCAACACCGAAACCAGGTCGTCCAGCCCCCATTATCCCCATCCAAGGCATTCGTTGTGAACGATGCTTTCATAGCAGCCACTCGACACTATTCGACTTCGCCTGCACCTTCTGCGACGCCTGGTATCACCTCGGACTCCTTAAATCCAAGTAATAGTCTGCAAAGTTCGTCTCCACCACCTCCTGTTCGGCAGACTGGTATCTTTGACGCACCTGCTCTGGATCATAGGCCCGACGAGTTCCAGAATGGAGCTTTGGACTTGGGTATGGACGACATCTTGAGGGACAACGGGGTGCATCCTCTAGAGGATCGAGTGAAAGGACCAGAACACGCTGTAGACAACGTATATCAACAGACTCAGCCGACGTTGGGCAGTTATCAAGCCTATCTCGACATGGTGCCATGGGCTGAACGCCCAATCAAATCAGGTTATCCGTTTAGACAAGAACCCATCGCAGGTCCTTCTTCACATCAAAGGTCTTTGACTTATGATAGTCAGAGTGAAGAACCTCATGTCAACGACTTCTCATCGACGACGTTTGGTGATGGTACCATCGACCCATCCATCTTAGGTGGTGGCCCGTTGATGTCCATCGAACGAACCCCATCACCAGTCGCTGCTGATCATTTGTTAGGGAAACTTCCATCACCAGATGGATCTATACCAGGCTCACCAGGTTCCAATCCTTCCGGGACTAGTGGACCACAGCGAGACTCTATCCCTCCACAACCCTTGCCTGAACAGGAAACTGAATATTCGTTCCCCCATTCACCCAAAGTCACCGGAAAAGGCAAGGGTAAGGGTAAAGCCAAGCCATCCGAAGAGGTTCTTGCTGCTGCTGCTAGTCGCAGACGTAGAACGTCTAGTTTCGGATCTCCGTCTGACGAGAAGCGCGATCGCAGACCAAGTGCTCGTGTTCTCGAGGCACTAGCATCCGTAGATTATGAGCTAACTGACGATGATGCCGACGGGGAGACGATCAATACCGAAGAACTCGGTTCTATTGTTGGTCATTCGGTGACGCGACGCGACGCAACTGTCAACCAATCCAAAGCCAAACCTCGCAAGCGTGCTTCACAACTTGAACAGACAATCGCGCCTAATGGTGCTATTCCATCTGAGTATTGTCACCAGTGTCGCAGAAAAACGCAGTACAATAAAATGCGCTGCTCTGCTATCAGGGAGGATGGAGATATCTGTGGACTACGTTTTTGTGAGAGATGTATAGAAAGACGGTATGTTCACTGCGCATTGGACGGTTCTGGTTCTTGACGAAATCTCTAGATACCCTCAGATGGTCTTCGATTCTTCCGACCTCGAGTTCACCTGCCCTAAATGTGCGGATTACTGCAACTGTACGGCTTGTTGCGCTAGACGGGGAGAAACCTACATATCCGCTCGTGACACCTTACCGAGCACCTCTAACCGAGTTAATGTACCTCGGAAACGGACAAAATTCCCTCGCTCCTCTTCCACTCGGCCTGCTCGCTCTGCCAAAACATCGGAAATTCTCGTCTCGAGGACGCCATTGGCCAAATTGATTCCCACGGTACCTACGCTGGCTGTACCACCTGGCATGTTCTGGGGTACAGTCTACAGTGTTGATGGACAGCGAGTAGGAACCGGTATTCTTTCTCAAGACCAACAGGTTCTCGTTGCAGGTGAACCAAGGAAGGTTTTCTACATTGGTAAACCCCCTCCGACATTACGGAGAAGGGGCACAGATATTTCAATTTCGTCGAATCCCTCTACCGAGTCTGTTAACCAAGGGGCGATTCAGAATCGACTATATATTGGTCACAAGGGGTCAATATACGATTCGTCTTACAAGTCCTTGGAGGATCATCTTTGTTCGACTCCTTCACCTTCATCTTCGAGACACTCCAGCCCGTTGACTCCGTTGCACGATGAGAGTAGCGATCCTGTGGCTCTGCCTCCAGAAACCGATCTAGGATTCATTATTGCACGAGCCATACATTCGGTGAAATCGTAGCGTGTGTACAGTTGATCTGATTATTGTATTCCTTGAATAATTGATATGTAGCATAAACCTTCCTGCATCTAGTTCATCACTTCTTGACTTCATGTTTTACGACACTTTGCTTTCTTGCTACACACTTATTATTTAGTGTTCTTACAGAATCCCAAGTCACCGTTCAGTAGCAGCATACTTTGGGCCATAATGTTGGTACTACAATCCCTAGAAAATTACAGTTTAGTTTTATACGAGTCAGAATAACGGTATCTCGGCCCGAAATCCGGGCCGTCCTTTTGTTGATCTCTGTGTGAGCACGACGAAACACAAAGCAAGCGGTTCAAACGTCCAACGTCAACGTTTAACTTGAAGTTTCACTTGATCAGTCACTGAGTACTTACAACATCCTGGTGCACATCGCATGCTCAGGATAGGTATTCTGGTGGCGTAGGTATCCCTAAAGTTCCCTTTGACAGGCAAGCCAGCTTTGGTTCATTCCAGGCTTTGTCGAATGAGCCCGACACTCTCAGGCTCCGACCTACTTGCCCTAGCCATATTTCTGGCATACTTCACGACTATCATTATACTGATTGGTATTATCCTGTATTCTCTCCCTCTGCACACAAATACCGGCGCCTTCGATTTCAGACCATATGTTTTCGGTTCGCTTGCATTTGCATCATTTACCCATACGTGGTTCTGTGAGTGCTTCAGGTTGTCAACCTCGAACCTTAATCTCACTTGCCGCGATGTCATACAGATATGTTTCGATTTCTTTCTGTGAGCTCTATGATTCATTTAATCGAGGTTGCTTGGTAATAATCGCCGTCCAGTGGAGCTTTCATGATTTCGAATCACACTCTAGAAGTGTGGAGGCTTCGGCCACTATGAGGCTCATAGCTTGGTTAAAGAATACAGAACTCTTCGAGCAAGCTTGGGCGGCCGTATGCTCGCGCCCACTCAACTGGTGGTGGAGTGAGCAACTCTGCCTTTTCACTGTAGGTGCATGGACGATCTTTCTCGTCCTACGAGGTATGTCCCCGATTACTCAAAGATTAATCCAATGTCTTATGATTGCTATAGGTCGTCTTCACTCGATTAAGCACGTTTGGGCATACATGCTAGTTGGACAGCTCGTCGCAATTAGCGTTGCAACCAACCTGTTTTTCCTAGCCGTGTCACTGTCAGGGAAGGGCCATGCAGTTTCAGAGAGTCGGTCAGCGCTCACGCGCGCGCCATTCATTCTGACATTTTGTGTCGTCGTCTCCATGACGACGGTCGCATTATCACCATTCACCTCTGAGCGAACCTTCCTTCCCAACCTGCTCACAATGCACACCTTGATCTTTCTCCCTCTGTTTCCATGGTTCCTTCGATCCAAATCGTCAAAGACACTCATGTCTTCACGTGTACTGTATAGCGTTATCACCGCCGTTAGTTTCATGCTAAGGCTAAAAACCACCGCTGTCGCCTTCAGATCTCTTCCTGCGGAGATGCAATCCTTTACCGGATTCCTAACGGCTATCGGGGCCACCCTCTACTCCCATCCCGCACAATCATCCATTGGATGGGATGTGGTATGGACTAGCATATCCTTCCTCACCTGGATAGCTCTCGATCACACTGTAACCCCACCTCCTTCTCCTCATCTCAAACCCTTCTTGCTTCCTCTATTCACATCTCTCACGGTTGCACTATCCGCTGGTGTTAGTGCTCCGTTCGTTTTACTTGCAAGCACACCCCGAGAGGCTCCGCAGAAAAAAGAATAGTTCGCATGGACGTCTCGGATGAAGCACACCTTTACTCCACTAGACGAATGCATGTAGCGCCTATCTAGCTAGCAATATGGAATCAAACGCAGGATGACCTTGTATCAGACCTGATAGGCTATCTATCGGTACCGATCAACGTTGACGTCGTGCCTAGGAACCCTTCGAGAAGCGTTCACCAACAACTCAAGGAATGTAGTACCGATGGAGTAACCAGGACAAACAGGAACCAGTCAGGGCTAGTTCTGTTGATCCCGGCGGCCAATGTGTGAAACGGGTCATACAAAAGCGGCCGGCTCCCATTCACCCCGGCCAAGGCTGCATACTTGGTATGAAGCGGATCTAGACATGGCCGTTAATGCCGTTCGGTATTTCAGGCGAACGGAATCAGCTTTTAAGTATTCTACGTTCAGATCTGCTATTTACTCGTATCCAACCGCCGGAAGCCCGTTATAGCACAAGCATGGGGTTGCATATTACGTCTGCGTGTTATGCATCAATGGATCTTCAAGTTGCAAAAGTCATCTCGCCATTCTTCAATAATCACCACGGTCAATGACATCTTACGTTATTGAGCTCGTACTTCGTGGCCAAGTTACTTGGTGTGTCAAGATTTGGGCTGGAAGCGTATGAAGGGGTTCAATACCCCCAAACCAATGATCTGGGACTTGAACCCGCTCTAATATAAACCCTCGATCAAGTCTAACTTGAACAGTCCGTTTGGAACGGCTAGTTGGCCTGTGATGGCCCCGTTTTTCCTTTCAACGGGCCCAGATCAGGTTCCCAATTAACCAAACTTGGGCATGAATGACGATTTTACTCCACCACGATCCGAAAGTGGGCATCCCGCCTTCAACATCCATCCGTGAGGTTCAGTGCGGTTATCTGGAGGCAGTGAATTGACGATAAGAATCATGACGAGCAGGGTAAAAGATAACAGCTAGAAGAAGGACGGAGATTATGGAATTATTTTCCCGTACAAACGTCTCTTTCGAGGAGATATACTCGTTCAAAGAGAAGGATATTGGCGCATCGTCTATGATACGAAGGAGGAGGGCGATGAAGATTGAGACAAGTAGATGGGAATAGACATGGGGATACAATGAGAGGGGGATAAAGTGGACATAGATAAGAATAAACTAAGAATCCAAGAATTCGTACAGCAACGCCACTTATACATCAATGGGACTTGGGGTGAAGACACGAGTACTTTTAAATGACAAACACCTAGAAGGCATGGCCAACAGCATGAAAAACATTCTTCTCCTGCGCACCGGACGTGATGGAAGGCGTCGCCTCCATGTCAAAGTTTGTCCAACCATCCGTAGGATCATGCAAAGCATCATTAAGGTACGAAGGCTCTAGTGTAGCAAATCCAGGGGAGTTTTCGAGATTGGACATGAACTGACTCTCGTACGACGAAAACTCGTCTGGGTATACGAAGTCTTGATGGTACAAGTTAGAGTTGTTTGTGGGCAGTGTGATGGGTGTGATGGGTGTGGAGAGGGACATGGAGGTTCCCGATGATGAACGAGAATGAGAGTATGTGCTGTGGTTATCAGGTCTGCCAATGGCCACTGATTGGGAATACCTAAAAACTAAGAGATTCACAAGTGTGCTTACTCTCTCCAAGGCGGGAAACATACCTGTCGAGCGGTTCGACATAATCCGACGGACGAGGAGTGGCTAGCACGGGAGAGGAAGAGGAAATCCTAGTTGCTGGTACTCGAGAGCACGGCTCCATGAGATAACTAGGGACTGAAGCCCGTCTAGCCGTCACTGCTGGAGAGCGTTCCATCTGAACATCCATATCTAATCCATGGACACCGACCTGGCGCATCTGATTCCTAAGATCGTATATACTGGCTGGTGGCAGATTCAAACGAGGTGGGCGGGCTCTACGAGGTTGAGAGGACTCCGAATCCGAGGCACTATCGGAGCTATGCGTAGGAGAATGACGATCAGTCGAAGGATTGTCGGTCCTGACGGAGGGAGGGGAGTGGTGGTTGGCATGAACGTCGGAGGATAGATAAGATCGCCTGTGAGGGTTGTGGGGAGAATCAAAGGAAGTTGTCGCTTGATCATCTGAGCTCGAGCCAGAGGATGCAACGGAGGCACGACGGGCAGAAGCAGCGTCGACAACACTCTTCCTCTTTACCTTGTTCGGGCCTCTCATCTTACGTTCGGGGGCATACTCGCAAGTCAGACCGCGACTACGGCATCTTTGACAGGGAGTTTCACCGCTGCACTGTACAGACAAGCAGAATCATTAGGGCTGGATAAAAAGAGGAGAAATTGGAGACAAACCTTGGCCTTCCGAATACGACATTTCTCGCAAGCTTGAGCAGTCCGCACACGAGGGTGCTCAGGTGCACGCTGATAAACGCCAGTATTAACGTCTAGAGAGCCAGCCATGGCACCCATCTCCCAAGGACGCCGATCCGAAGGAGCCGGCGACTTAATAGAAGTCGAAGCTGGGTAGTTGTGGAAAGAGGCGACCTGAGGTGGGGCATAGACGTTGCGGAAGTCGTTGTGGAAGAGAGAGTTGGACGTCGAAGGTGCCGAACCAGCGGTGCCATTAAGCGATTGTTCCTGCGGTTCGACCTTCCCCCACGAGCCAGGTGCTTCGTAGAGAACATGAGGGGATGAAGCGCGGATCGGGGCGGGTTCACGGATAGGTGTGCGGGAGTCGTGAAGACCGGCAGTGGCGGATTCCAGGAAGGGATTGGTGAAGACCGTCCGATTATTGCCCCAGTAGTGGGTGAAGGGTGAAGGGTTGGAGATGGGGAAGCCTGGTTGATTGCTCAGGACGTCCTGCATATACGCCGCTATACTGTGGGGAGAATTGCCAAAGGACACAGGAGACGCTGAGCGCTGTGGCAAAGTGAAGCCAGTAAGGTCGAAGTGCTGATGCTGGTCTCGAGGATGAAAGTGAGCGGCGTCATCAAAGGACACCTGATGGTTATTGGACATGATAACAGTTAGGGTGGGATGTGGAAGGGAAAAACGTATGTATGAAGTATTTCCATTCGAACTTGGGGCTTCTTAAGAGATGGCTGACCGCCGAAAGTAGATCTCGGGTAACGAGATCGACGGAAGCCCCTTTCCGCGATCCTTCGGTACAGTTTCACGGAGGTACTTCCTTTCGCGGTTTCCTTTCATTAATGGCATACAGCCCACGTTCCGTTAAGTAAGCCGAAAATTCACCTATTCCTCCGCATTTTTTACTCAGTTTGGAAATGAACTTCGGTGCACCTTCCTTTCATGACCAGAATATATTCGGAAAATTTCCATAGGTTGCCGAAAGAACTGCGAGGTATGATGCGTGATGCTCTGGCCTCGCGATCTGCCGCCGCGTTCAACTACGCACAACCCAGTCAGTATCGTCCAGTTCGATTGACTTCAAACTAGCCATTCAGTGTCCATACCTTCCAAAGTTGCCTGCTAGACGACACTACCACAGAGAAAGATTACTACAACAATGGTATAACTAGATTCATTGTTCACCTACGAAGAAAGAGTCTCCTTTGTATGACTCACGGTGCCACTACATGCTCGTGCAAACTTTCAATTTGAAGGTCCGCGAATGAGCACCGCCACACCGAGCCCAGCCCCTTCGTATGACAACATCTAGGAGCTTATCGGAGGGCATACAAGCAAGAAGCAAACTCAATTATGAACTTTGCAAGGCCAGAGGGTCTTAGTAGAGCTTTTGTTTCGAGAGCTAGTGGAAAAATACCAATGATGGCAAACTTAGATACCAACGTCCATGAAGAGTGACCAACCGTGGGATGCTAACCGATTTATATCCAAATCGGCCCACCCTCCTTCCATCTTGGATGACGGCAATAGCAGTTGCCACCAAGCCGTTGCCTTAAGACGAATTATCAAGGATCTTGATCACTGGAATGAGATATTCAACAGATCGTGTAAGTACTCATTTCCGATAAATAGAATTGTCATACCATTATGCTCCTGGATTCCAGGGCATGCCAGTGCACGGCCGCCGAATCCCATTGCGCTTCTTGTCTACGATGCATTCTTACTGAAGGCGGCCGTACGATGCACATCGCCCACTTCTCCCAGTCTTGTCTACACGTTCATAACCTCATCATCGCGAATACGTCGGACATCCCTCGATGGCGCATGCAAACTCATAAAGGCAACTCCTGGCTTGCTCTGAGTGACGTTCGGAAGCGGGTGGGTTACTTCTCAGCGGAACTGCAGAATCCGGGTAGGAAGCTCCGAGTTCTCAACACTCTGGATGATCCTCTATTTTCAAGCTGTAGATAAGAGGGGCCTTGCTAGCCATTCATGTGCAGATGTCGAAAACCACTTCGAAATGAGTCAACCAACTCTGATCGACCTTCGACATTTCTTTGCTGACAAAAGTAGATAGTGAAATGTGAGAGTAATACTACTGCCTTCATCCGTGTGTAGTTCCTGATCCAGAACGTGATGCGTGATGGTTGAATAATACATAAACGAGATACTGCGTTCCCCGGGACTACATACAAAGTATTCCTAATGATACAGCATATTTAAATCGTAAATATTGTGGAAGGGCGAATAATGTAAAAATGGTTAATGTTGATGACAGAGTCGAGCTGTAACCCCGGGGTATGTACCTTTGAACTAGTCATGAAGGATATGCAAGGTATACAACTTTCTCAAGAGTGAGATATAGACCCATAGGGATGGAGGACATGGAGCAGTGATCACGACTGACCGTAGTCTCCACGACAACTTAATGCAGGACGACTTTAGAACGAGGACACGGCAGTAGCGTGGTGCATTATTCTCTTCATGATACGACTGTAGTGTCTTGGATGGTTGTTATTCCCTGGTGACGATTTTTTGCGTTTCAAAGAACAGCTACCACCGCCTTGCGAGCCTCCAGAGGAAGACGAAGAAGCACTTGTGGGAGAAGTGGCTGAAGAAGACGATCCGCCGTTCCCTCCCGACGAGGATGAACCAGAGCCTGAGCCTGAACCGCCGGAGGGGGAGGGGGAGGGGGCGGCAGTCCCGGAAGGGAAAGAAGCTGATCCAGATGCGGGAGCACCTAACGAGTCGCTTGTCGCTGCCAGATTGGAAACAGGCCCGCCTGGGAAGGTGTACTGAGAGCCTGAGTCGTAAATCTAAAAGGCACGCAAGTTGAAGCCCCTGCAAGTATGTGGAGCTGTATGTGCAAACGGACGTACCGTTGGGTCGTAGATGCCAGGATCAGAGTCTGAGTAGGCACCTGGGAAGGAAACTGTTGCATTCGGCTTGCCGCTTCCGTTACCACCGATCTGGACTTGTGTGCAGGAAGGATAGAACTCTGCTCCACCCATGCTTACGGCAAGATGCAGGGCAAGAATCTACAGAGGATCCCCAGGGTTTCATTCAATCTGGAGACCTTGGCGCAAAGAAAAATATTGCGATCACGAACCTCGTGACGAATGAGGTATCCTCCTGGTGCAAGGTCCTGGGGAAGGCTGACATCGAAAGATGCGCCTTTAGAGATATCCATTTGGTACCAGTTCCCATCTGACTTTCTGCCTACTTCGTCAATCTTGAACCATTGAGCGCCTGAAGGATCAAATTGGCCGCAGGACGTAGAACCACAAGATGCCATATATGTCATGAGAGGACCTGTATTGTGGGGCCACTGCGGATATGTTAGCGATATCCAAGTAGGAACCCGTCTGAGATGTACCTTTTGACCACCTCCGCCAGACCATTGGAAGGTCACCTTGCTACCTGGGTTCGCTGGTACGACCATGGCTGCTTTCTGAGCACTGAGGCCGCACATAAGATCATCATTGGAGGAACCTTTGACAGGGCCTATATCATTGACAAGACGAATGGGACTAGGGCCTAAGACAAATGAAGGTTAGCTCGTTATCCTGATCTCAGGAAGACTTACCCTTGTAATTGTTGGGTACATTGCCGGCGTACCATTTCCCATCAATAGCGACTTGACCAAGAAAACCGTGCGCAAATACAGATGGAGCCACCGCAATGAGTGAAAGAAAAAGAATGGAAAGCATCTTCGCTGCTGGGAAGGTATTGAATGATCGAGGGGAGCTCGTCAAGAGCTGTGGTTCGCCTATTGAGTGCGAGAAAGACAGTAAGGAGATTGAGACGTACGGTATCGTGGTGTGCCACCTTTAAGTGTCGAGATATCGACGGTCAAGGCCCATGTATATGCTACCGACACCACCTCAGCCACTGGTAGGCCTCATGTAGTTGGCGTTTCTCAAGACGCCCATATGGAAAGCTTATGGAAAGTATCCTTGTATTGTCACATGAGCGTGAGATCTGCCTTCATGGCAAAATCCATACAGACGTTTGATGAGGGCCCCGTCTTCAATGCAATTGAGTTGGCAACATCTGTCCAGATCTGTCCAAGCGACAGACTCAAATTCTGCGAGGTGAGTTGACCAATCATCGTCCAGAAAAACAAGTATCGATCAGAAATCCGCCGGAAAGACGGACTAGCACATGAAGCCAAAATGTCCGCCTGCAGGCTGCGTCGCATCTGAGATACGAGCCACAACTTAAAGGGCCTGATGCGTGCACTATTGATGTTCTGGTATCTCGGTCACCTGCAAACCTTGTGCGTTATTTCTTAACTTATGCTTCGAGGGTGGTGCTTGACTATCTTCTATACACCACACTGCAACTCCTCAACTCGGCTCTCCGGTTTAGCTAGTTACCAATCTGGTTGTCGCGGTTATACCTGGCCGCATCCTGCACGATTTATGCATGAAAAGTTCATGTCACTATCCCCTTATCCTTCGCATTACACGCGCCGAACACGGATGAAAAACTTCTGGACGGTCACTCAACATGTGCTGCTGCCATTCTCTGAAAATAAATTTTCTCATGTTCCTGCCTCTATTCTTAGCCCCCTCACAACTTGCTTTTCATTTGGACAAAGATAGCCCACAATGAAATATCTCTGGATAACCTTGATAGAAAGACAACGTTCCGTCTTCATTCTCCGTCGCTCTTTTGTTCTCTCGGATGATTCATATGAACAGTCTTCCTGCTCGACTCTCTCCTTCCACTTGTATGCACGATCCCGCCCCGTTCTCGTGTGTACGCGGTGACTTTCCAGATGATCTGTATCAACGCGACTTCCATATGTTTGATGCTGATTCTGATTCTGATTTCCTATTCTCCTCTCTCCATGTACACTTTCCTGAATGACCGAACTCACCTCAGCCATCCTTACATGATGTTGCATCGATTCATGCATACATTTTGAAGCCTGGTGGACAATGTTAGCTCCATATGGGAGTGTCTGCATGTTCACAATATGTGCGATTCTATCAGCTGTTGGCCACGCGTTTTCGCGCCTTCCTGCGTGTGCAACTCGACGTAGAGTCTATGGGTTGTGTTGGCATTTAGACGAGGACCAACCCAACCCCCAGCCCAATCCCGGCTCCTCGGGCAATCTTACGAATCGTATTCAAAGCTATTACTTTGTTACTCATCTCTGCTGCGGAGGAACTTGCTATCCATTTTCCCCTGGTCTATGTCGGTCAACTTACAAGATGATATCGCAGTAATATATCACTGCGTGTACGTACGAATTCACTAGACACCTCGAGTAGTGGTGTTAAGAATTACACCCATCGCCAGAGCCTCATGATCGGAGTATCCCAGCGCAGAAAAACAGAAAAAATAACACACCAGACGGTGCGAGTAACATTGTCGTTTGTCCGCAGGGCTTAAATATGAAGAAATCATACTTGCGTAATCGCACCTTACTGAGAAAATCATTCCCGTCGACTTCAAGATCATTCTCACCACCAATGAGCGTTTTCGCTTCAGAATTTTGTGTGCCAAGCGGCATTTTCCCCTCGTCGCTTTGAATGAGAGATTGTAAGCCGCCATTGCACCACGTCTCCTGCTCCTGCCGATTTCGTTCACGCAGCTAGGCAAACTCAGGACCCTCCACTCGAGATGGACACACACAAAGCCTGCCACAAAAGATCACGGTGTATCGCCGCTCGCAGTGCCCTCAAGGTGGTCACAAAAGAGCATGACAATAGTCAATCAGCAATACCCCCAGCAGATCGCATGATCAAGTCGGGTACGACTCACAAGCCTTTGTGACTAGGTTGTACTCGTATGGGCCATCTTTACAAAAGGTCAGAAAGCTCTAGAAACGAGTCAACAACAAGGTCAACCTCTCCTCCATCCTGCTTAGATCGGATACTATCTCGCTCCTCGAGGGTGTCCTCGGTAGGTCTTCTGACATAGACTGTTCGGAATCCATGGCTTGCGGCCGCCCGAAGATCGTATAGGTGAGCTGCCACTAAACAACACTTCTGAGGATCCAATCCAAGGAGCTGCGCCGCAGTAAGGTACATCTTCGGGTTTCTGCATGAGTGATCAACATTAGTACATACTCCATGAAGGTTGAGACGAACGGCTTGTACGACCCGATAATATCTCCCGATAGTACAACATCCCAAGGAAGATCAGCATGCTTCGCCTGATGGCCATCAGTATGTCTTGAGTAACCGCGTGGTTGTCAGTGGGGACAAACCATGTCGACCAGCAGGCGTGCATTCCCGTTTGAGAGACTGCCGATGATGGCTTTCTTCTTCAGGGCGTAAAGCCCTTCAGTGGTGTCCGGCCAACCTAAACGGCGAAAGTAAAGACCATTATGAAATGAACGACTTCAAGTATACATACCATTGAGCTTGTGGTAGAGCAGGGTCAACTCTTGACGTTTTGTGTCGCTCAATTGGTCAGCGAGGTGCTCCCATCGATCGTGTTGCAGCATCTCATCAAGATACTGCCACGAAGTTCAGAGAGCAGAAAGATAGAGCGCGAACATAGACGGTACTTCGCGATGTAATACGTCGACACTGGTCGCACCAGGGCCTCCACTCGCAACACCGCGACTGTGAGATGAAGGCATTAGATCATTTTCTTCATAAAAGCTCGAAATTCGTACCATTTGATATAGTGGCCTTTGATCCACTCTTGGGCGAAAACACCCCAGTCTTCAAACCATAAACGCAATGAATAGATGGCACGGAAGAATATCTTATGAAAACATGCCCTCTTCGAGGTGTGGATTAGCATTACGCAGGCCCTCAGCAAGACTTCCGCGCCAGTCAACTACGGTCCCAAAAACGTCAAATAGAAATGCTTCCACGCCACCCAAGATTGGGCCTTCAGTCATCCTGGGCACTATGAAACAGAACGCTATGAAACAGAACGCCTATAAGCAAGGAGAGCAAAATCTAAAGCTGAGAGAACTCAGCTCTCAACACATAGGCACAATATTATGTACTCACCAGAACCGGTCGCCTCCGACCATCGTCCGACCAATCCCGCACGAACGACCACATGATGATACGTACATATATTGAAACATCCGTTAGCGGTAAAGAATACATATTGTTAGTCATCCGTGCATCAAACTGACGCGGGCATTTGGGTATGGAATACGAGATCCTTGTGCAGTTGTTGTTCAAACATTGAAATTCAGAGGACATCAGCGAGTTCAAGGAAAGTGTCCACAACTACATCCACTTCTCCGCCTTCAGCTTTGGGTTTCACTTGATCACGAATCTCTGCCGGGTCCTCGCCAGATCGGCGGACGTAAACAGTCTTCAGACCATGACTGGCGGCAGCACGTAGGTCATAGATATGGGCAGCAACCATCGCGACTTTGTCCGGAGTCAAGGAAAGGCGCTGTGCTGCTCCTAGATACATCTTGGGATTCCTGAGAAGCCCAGTGAGTTAAGAGTTATATACAAAGAGACTAAGATATTCATACGGCTTGTACGAATCCAAGATATCTCCAGAGAAGACAATATCCCAAGGAAGATCGGCATGCTTGGCCTGGGAAAGAAGCGGAATCAATTTTCGGAAGTTCTAGAGGCAAATGTGCATATCTACCATATCAACTAGTAGCCGCGCACTTCCATTGGAAAGAGTACCGATAATAGCCTTTTTCTTCAAAGCATACAAACCTTCCGTTGTGTCCGGCCAGCCTATTATATCGATATATCGATCGCCGGCTCAAGATGCGATTGTGGAAAAGACTTACCATTCAGCTTGTGCCACATCAATGCAAGTTCACGACGATTGTCGTCGTCCCATTTGCCAGCAAGATGGGCCCAACGCTCATTCTTGAGCATCTCATCCAATAACTGATTGCCACATCATGTAGTGAACTCGTAAGGTAATCAGAATGTAAACATCACTACCTCACGGTGGACAACATCAACGTTAGTTGAGCCGGCGGCTCCGCCAGCAACATTACGGCTGCGGCCATCTCAGGAAACGATGGCATTACACTACGTCGCGGAATGTGCGCACGTCTTCTGATAGTATCCTTGTCTCCACTCATTTGTGAAAGCGACCCAGTCTAAAAGGCGATAAAGAGCTCAGTGCGTCGATGGGTACTACCAAAAACATACCGTCTTGAAAGTCGGGATATTGGTCGTGCAGGGCCGACGAAACACTTCCTCGCCAGTCAACAACAGTTCCAAACACGTCGAAGACAAGAGCTTCTACGCCATTTAAAGATCCAGACGTAGCCATTACTGTCAGGGTATCTTACCACTCTACGGCCGCAACGTTGTGATCAGGACGAGGTGACAGCTGCTAAGCGCTGACTTAGTAGTAGTCTACTTAGCGTGGGAAATTTAATATAGTCGGCGAACACTGACGGACTGACGAGTGCAGCCGGCAACTAGACGCATGTTGAGCTCTCATCCCAGGTTCTCATCTCTGAACATCTTGAAGCTTTGAAATACCGACATGCATAAAGCCGTGGTCATGCGGCGGCTCAGCATATCCCGTTTCTCACCCTTCCATGGATACCCCCCTGGAGAAATTGAAAGTGTATAGCTGCGGGCTGTTCAACAGTCTTCCACCTAGTAGATCCCGAACATTGGGGCAAGATCGTCACGTAAAGCTAGCACCGTTGACTAATGCTGTAGCCGATGTTCCTACTGAGAATACCTATCTTTTTGACGGTCAAGGGCCGCCCATTTCACTACCATATGTGAGCTGTCATCCTGCATATTATATATTGAAACTTTGGAAGTGTTTAGATTGATAACCTGCCGTATAGAGGACAAGTACTCGAGATGTATGGTTCTCAATCGCCATAGTCGGTACTACGTGCCTTCTTGGGGGATCCATCTTGGGCCGTACTCGGATGTCACTACAAAGACGTCGGTTCGCACGAGGGTGTCTTTTAGGAACATTCGTCGCATACTCGGCCAATAAGCTCTGTGGTGACGGCGGATTTGGGTTTGCGATGAAGACGCAGTTCAAAGATCCAAACCTTATGACGTATTGGAAGGCCGCAATGGCCACGAAAGAGTTGCTAAAAGATGGCAGAGATATGAGTTCTGGGCTGAATGATTCTATATACTTCAGCTCACTCTTCAATATTCCTGATTCTGAGTCTTGGAAAGGTGTGCACTTTTTATTCGATTTATCTAATTGAGGTCTTAAAACTGACTTTAGACGTGAAGATGGTAAGCCTGGATGATTTCCTCCATGGCGTTGGGTGTAGTCCCACTACGAGATGGCTCCTCTGCAAGATTCTACGGCAGTTCTTTGTTGGAAAGGGGATATCTCCGGAAGACACCGATCTTCTCATAGCTCATATGAGTACCTTCACGGATATGAAGCGTTTGAACGTGAGCCATGTTTGTATTTCCGGCGGTATTGGTGTTCAACTTCATTATTTAGCGTATTGAAATGCTTAGCTGGCTAAACTACGCCACATTCTTTGGCTTAGGACTGACGGCTTATCCACTGTTGCCAGGACAGCTGTATATATACGGTTGCATTTGCTTTCTCTCGTTCTACAGTGGTGTTGTCGTCGGACCTGTTCGAAGACATTACTTTTGGCGATTCCCTGAACGTATACGAGACAGGCGCACAGTCGGATCTGTGCTTCGAGTTGTGGGTATATTCATGATTACCAGTACCAGTTTGAATGTTAACGAGCTATTGTCAGACATTTGTGTGATCGCGGATACCCCCACGCCGCTTATAATACCCCAGTCGCTTTATTACCCCACTGCTCAGTGTAACTTGCTGTCGCACTTCTGCTATTTTGCCGTTCTCCACGTCGCTCCATCTCTTGAATACACTCCGCTCTTATCAAATACATTCGAACATCTTATACCTCAATGCGACATTGCCTGTTGTGTTTTACAACTCACCTCATCCGACCCTCGTAAATACCATTAAACCAGTCATTTGTCCGACGACGGCCCGTAGACCAAGAATTTTCATATGCTATGCGATCTCGTAGCAGTCCTACGCACTAATCCCTCGACAGAATTTTTATGACGTCCAATTACATGCGGGGTTATTATGTAAGTGACAGCTCAACCAACATCTTCACTCCCTCTGGAGATGAGGAATAACTACATATCTACCATGCTACCGAAAGTCGTGATCGAGTGCCTTCAATAATTTCAAATTTGTCGAAGATGCATCTAGACGCGACCGAACATCAACGTTTCACCAATGCCAAGACAACTGACTGAATCACTCACTGTACGGTAGAATGCCGGCGCTCAGAGCTTCACCACTTACTCCTGACGAGCATGTTGTTACCCCGGCGCTGGGTGCTTCTCTTCGCAGGTTCTCTCTCTTTCCTACTCTTTTTTTCAGTCTTTTCGTATAGGTCAGTATGTGCTGCCTTCACTTCCAGCACAAAAACAGTCTCATCATCAACTTTAGATACCAAATCCATAATGCCATTTCATATGTTTCTCGACCATTGTGGGATCACCCAGATGGTCCGACGCAATTCATAACTCACTACTACACTGAAGGACTACCTTTCGATGAAGCCACATGTAACCTCCATGGGTGGCATTTACGAAACTCTGATCGGCCACCTGTCTGGGACGCCGTGCTGTTTTCAAGTGAGCTGGACTTGCTTGAGATTCGATTACACGAACTGGACGCTGTAGTGGACAAGTTCTTCATTCTGGAATCAAATCGTAGGCCTCATTCTTTGTTGCCCTTACGCTTCCGGTTGATACGAGCAAGCACTGTCACAGGCACTTTCACAGGAAACCCCAAACCTTTGTACTTTGCAGAAAACCAAAGTCGATTCTCAACTTTCCTTCACAAGATCGTTTACCGTCAGCTTCCATCTGATGATGCCGACCCTAATCCATGGACCATCGAGGCATTGCACCGCGATACCTTGACACAGATGATCAACTCTGAGCTTTCATCTCCCCACTCTCAACCCTTGGTGATATTTGCGGATGTGGACGAGATCCCATCTGCACACTCCATTCGTCTTCTTCAAACCTGCGATGCTCCTTCTCCGCTTCATTTACAACTCCGCAACTTCGTATACTCATTTGAATGGCCCCTTGGACTCAATAGCTGGAGGGCTCAGGTGCACAAATGGGTAAAAGCAAACAGCCGATACATGCATTCGAAGAGTGGAGATGTGGCATTAGCAGACGCTGGATGGCATTGCAGGTGATTGCTATTCGGGTGCTATGGGCGACTATATAGTGCAACCGATGTTCATGTCTACGATTCACAGCTTCTGTTTCAGGACATTGGACGAATTTGTATTGAAGATGAAGGGTGCGCGCTATACTCTACCAATCTCGAGCCATTAGATTTCCGACATCTATCCAGGATACTCTCATTCTGACCGAATAGGTGGTGATGTGTCCTTACTCTCTCACGAACGGATCCAAAGGGTGATCTGTGAAGGGAAGGACATATTCAACATGTTACCCGAAGCATACTCATATAAGGATCTTCTTGCTTGGATGACTCCGGAACCGTTAGTCATGTATTCAATCCTTCTTGTTGTCCTCGACTCACGCTCTGTTAGGTCGAAGTCGGTTATCGGTGTCCCTCTATATGTTCTTCGGAATCCGGACAAGTTCAAATTCCTGCTCCCAGATGGCTGCTTGAGAGAGAGTTGATCATGATTACGAGGTGATGATACCCCTACAACATTGTATCATACTGAAGGACGCTTTTGTTGCTTGTACAATATGACGAGTTGAAAATACAATATAGGTGCGTTTGGCAATGTTATTAGTGATGTGGATACTTATGCCGTCTGTTAAATATCAGTGTCAGTCAGAGCGTGAAAGATCAGAAACGTGTGGAAAGGCGTACACTGGGGGTAGCGATGTAACTGGACCTACGTTCAGACGTCAGCCAAACGTCTCGCATTCCATTAAGCTCCCATCGGACTCACCGGGTGTAGTGGGGATGGCTGGAAATGGAGTAGCCGAGCACTATCAGACTGAGTTAGTAACGAAGCAAGCCGTGCTGCTCCGAACACATACTGCTGCTTGGACATCACCTCTTGACTTTCCTGGTGGTAGCGTCGCGAGACGATTTACTCTGCTTGGTACGGGAATGACCTCTGAGCAATCGGTAAGTTTGTCCGTATCTTGACCAAGTGTTGAAAGTTTCGCCATAACACGCTGGAACTTCTCAATCATGGCATCTTGATCAGCTATGACTCATGGTTAGAGTGGGTCTCCTGATTTGGCTGTTCACAAAACGCACTGATGAACGATTGCCATTCGCAAGCAGATCTTTTGGATGTCATGATTAATTCTTTCGACTCTGATTGAGTCTATGGTCTTACCTTATATCTCTGGCCAGGACAATATCGGATTGCAATCGGAACTCGCCAGGTATAGGCGAACTGCGTTCACCAAGGGCAGTGCCGTTACCTACAGGTTCAGTACCTTCAAGTAATGTCTGAGCAAGGGCAATTCAGTGTGTACTTTGCCGACAATAGATCAAAGGTACAGAACATACCTCGACAAAGAATTGTGCGTCGAAGTCTTCCGGTGTTGAATCAAGAGGTGCGTTCTATATATTTCATTTCAGGGTGCTGAGTTCAGCCACTGAGTATACTCCACACGCACGTTCACAGTAGGATCGATGAGGTGTTGAGCTCCAACACTATGGGCCGCCATGAGTTGGGCCACTTCCTCCGGGGAGAACCCAGCATCCTCCATACGAGCGAAGATCTGGTCTGCTGAATGGAAAGGAGCAGGGATCATGTAATCCGGAGCTGGTCGAGAAATATTTGCCCGGCCCGCGAGAAACTGTAGCCTTGGGCCGCCCATGCAATTGGATACACCTACTGCGCCTGCGAAGTGGATGCTAGGAGATACTGTCAGTCTCTGTTCGCATGATTTCTACAGAGATGCGACATTGGATGGACTTACAAGTCTCCAAAAGATACACTATGCTTGACTGCGAAGTCCCGTTGTTCATAAATCATCTCGTCCAGGCCAGCGTTTTCCTCTGCAACTTTACTGGTCAGTACATTCGATGGCCGAGAGCGATTGCGGACGCACTATAGTTCAACTCGACATCGGCGTTTATCATTATCGAACCATCTACAACGGTTATTACTGGTAAGTAAGACAACAACCTGACCTTCAAAAGAACTGTATCCTCACCTGCACCGCCCCCGCTATGCGGACAGTGGATTAGCTCGATTTTCGGAAACAGTCACTAGCAACGTACGCAAAGCTTCCATTGAATAGCCCTGTTTTTGAGAATCCAATAGCGTCATGGAATATGATCTATCATCGTTTGGTGAGTGGTGCTAGTGGAAAGCCATGTTAACTCGGAGAGCTTTCTCACGCGTAATGACTGTAAAAAGCATCAGCATCATCATCAGCTAAATTTGCTTTACACTAAGCCACCTCATGGGACTCTGGACCACATTCATTTTCGAGACTACGAGAAGTATTCCATTAACTGGCCAAATCTGCACATCGCCAGACGTACAGGTTCGCTTGGATGTCGTCCAATATATGAAACCATTTGCAGCACTGAAACCAATCAGTAAACTACTACGCATGTAGAGGGCGAACGACCTAAATACCTCGGGTGACCTAACAGTTCGACCCGGCGAGCAGGTATGTGTTTGATTAGAATTAGGTCCCGCCAGGACCATTGTGAGGTGACAAGTAGACATTAGAAGAAAGCAGGTAATGATCGTGGTCTTAAGCATATAGCACATTAAATCTAGGTTTGTCGATTGCTAGGTAGGGACATTCCCGATGCTGTTATTGAAGCAATGAAGGTGAAGGTGCAAAGGAAACCTGAGTTGGTTCAGAATGGAACACGAACCAAGTCTTCCTAATGCGGACGAGCGCCCACTCTAGTAAGTCAGGCAGATCACTCTTGATAACGCCGCTTCAACAAAGCTTCGTTGAAGCTTTATAACTACTTACTTTACCTTTTGGGCAGTTCGCCTTCTGGAAGCTGCAGTTATACTGTAAGCATGCCATTTTGGAACTAATTATGAGTCTCAGAGGATACCACTCTACTCTATGCCCGGACGATTCCACATTCTCTAACCAGCTTGGCATTCGATTTGTGCAAGGTGACTCCAGATTTTACATCACACAAGATTCTCCGTGTCATCTAGACTCCCTTATAAATAAAGAAATTGGCGATAAAGGTCTAAATTGATTGCTGCTACTTCCTCGCAAACACTTCACGTCACCAGCCTGTAGCGATTATCGTTGATCGCATTGCGAAACCTCCTACGAAAGCAAGACCGAATTCTCAAGCCTCATCTCGCACCTGCCGTTGTACCAACACATCTTTCTTTGGATCCTCACAACTATACGACTATTGCTCATTTCATCACTGTCCGAGTCTTCCAGAGTCGTTCAACGCATCATCCAAGCTTCATCTGCTACAGATACATTATACCCAGCCATTGCGCAGATCGTGCATATCGTCAAACCTTTGGGATATGCAGAATCCAATGATTCATTTCTCGTGACCTCGGCGAGCCCAGCACACGAGCTCGCGTTAACCAACCGGCTTTCTGCAAAGTTCAGTTCATGTATCTCTGTTTGTACACTTATATCATGCTGCCCAATAAGGAATACTGAATCTCTGCATAGTTTTCCAACGCAAGTATCACGTATGGCGAGGAGGTCTCTGATTCAGAGACGGATCCCGCATCGAGAGCTGCGATTTCTCTTCGTAGAGCCACTTATGGCGCACTTGTTGTACGTCATTGACGCCACTTCTTGGTTCACATCATCGCTGAGAAACAGTAATACGAGCAGAGCATGGATGTACACGGACGAAATGTCAAAATGCGGCACCCCGAAGTCCGACGTGCGTATAGATATACGTTTCTCTGGTACACACCTCTTGATGGTCTTGCCTTACCGGATACCTTCCCTCCTTCCAATATTCCTACTTGGCTGGAGATCGGCCACATCTTGCATAAGGTTGGCCACTCAAAATACTGTGTTGAACGCCTGGAATACTCATCCAAATATCAAGACGGGCATCCATCTCAGTATCATTAGTCCAGATTGGGCCGGCGACCTATCGGATGTCTTCAATGGATTGCTAGTGTGTCATCTATTTCAGCTTACTGACGCTGTCTCTTATGTTCCTCGCTATAGTGTGAAGAGGTCTCTCCTAATATCGTATTCGGAGCAGTGCCGGATCTACCTCAAGCCTTCCGTGTGTTTGAGTTCACGCTTTTGCCAGGTTTAAGTAGGGTATCCCTCAAGTCATTGTGCTTGTTTTATGGCTAATGTAGACAGGCCCTCTTGCTCTGCCAAGGGCTTTGTCTCTGCAGGGCCCTAAAATGGAGCACGCCGACACTTCTGCTACTTCGTCTGGAACGGCAGAGAAGAAATCAATACGCCCATTACTCGCTCAGCCTGTTGCTGAGTTAAGACATCCCTTACAACGCCACCTTCATCCGCGCAGACAATACCATCGTGCCAGCCCTCCTGACCGACATCAGCTACAACCCTTCGAACGTTCGCTATCTCCCTTCAAGAACCGCCGTGATACACAATTCACTCATTCGTCACATCCATGTACTTCTGAAACAATCTCTACTGTCCGAGTGGATCCCGTCTTACCCACCGCTGCTATTGCTGTTTCTCCTATATTAGCCGAAGCCCCAATGCAATTACAGCATCGAGCAACACCTGCGGAGCATGAACCCACGGCGTTCATCACGTACGTCCAACCTCGCCAGACCATCCCCAAACCGGCAATATCAGCTCATACATCGCCCTCGATACAACCGCATCCACCAATGACGGGCTCTAATTCGTTACAGCCAGTCACACCTCTTGCGTGGAACGTACACACTAGTTCCCCATCGGGTGATCCTCCTATAGGATCGAGGAAGAGGAAAGCGTCAACCCAAGGACAGTTACGTCCTTCGCAGAGAGCATCCACGCGACCGTCTAAACGTACAAAGGTTCAACCCAACATTATCCCGAGCCCTTCTGGTGACACACCGCTAGCGGCTAGATATGCTGTCAAGATGGAACCTTCGGATGTGGCGGAATATGTGTTAAATTCAGCAGAGAAAATCACGGGTTGTATGGCCGGAGAGCCCAACGTTACTGAAAGCACAAGGGAGTACGTCAACCCTTGGACAACGTGTATCATTCGCCAATAAACTGACATTGTAGTAGTCAGATAGAGGTTTTCTCAGTCATGTCACTACCTAAGCAAGGCCTTTACACAGGATCCTGTCTTGACGGAGCGCTTGGATCACCGTCCTAATGATACTCTGAGTTATGAGTCTGCCAGAAGGCGACAATTTGTATTCTACCAGATACCCACACCTCTGATGTAGCCCTAAATGATTTTGCAATGCGTGAATGGGGTTTCCCCTGTCTTCTCTATGAATGCGTGCGCTGCGTGCGTGCCAAGTTCATGGACGCTGGGTTCCATTTCAGGCATGATAATCAAACCAGCATTCAAATTCGATCGGCTCACATAATCATTGATTTTGAATTCCCAATTCAAAATGAAGTTCACATATGAAGCACACCACCCTCTCGTTTTCGCCTTCTCTGCCTTATCACCCCCTCTGTAACTGACTGTTGCATCTCTGGGACATACAGTTATCTAACCTCAACTTAGGCTCTTCTGACATGAACACAACAAGCACGACAGAATCTCCAGAGCCTTCCAAAGGTAAGGAAGTTCAATTGTATTGCATATTGACAGAAACAACGAACGAGGTCTATAGCCATACTGAAGAGACTCGGAATTCTCGATAAATTGCTTACCCCCTTGATCCTCCTCTGCATGGTTATTGGTGTGGTCATCGGAGAGTTCGTCCCAGGCGTTCAAGCGGCGTTCGATGTTGTACGCTTTCATAGCGTGTCCGTGCGTGAGTGCATGCGAGTGTAAACATGTAAGGAAAAATAGCTTACCAGGATGAACAGCCATTGCCATCGGTCTCCTTGTTATGATGTGGCCGATCCTCACGAAGGTCGAGTATGAAGCCCTCCCGAAACTCTTCCAGTCTCGGCAACTGTACATCCACATCATCATCTCGCTATTCCTCAATTGGATCGTGGGACCTTTCATCATGCTCGGCTTGGCCTGGGCGACCCTCCCTGACCTACCAACGTACCGTACAGGCGTTATCATGGTCGGTCTCGCTAGATGCATTGCCATGGTCATGATCTGGAACCAACTTGCCGGAGGCGACGCGAACTATTGTGCCATATTAGTTGTCATCAACAGTGTTCTTCAGATCATACTTTACTCACCATTCTCTCTGTTGTTTGTCAATATCATTGGAGGTGAAGGTCCAGGATCCGATATTCACCTCGCATACGGTGATGTAGCAATCTCTGTACTCATTGTAAGCATCCCCGCAAATGCCATCCTCGTTTATACTCATATGCGTACTTTCAGTATCTCGGTATACCTCTGCTTCTTGGTCTCCTTACACGCGCCATCCTCCTTACCCTCACATCACGACAATTCTTCCACACTCGCTTTCTTCCTTTCTTCAGCCCTATCGCCCTGTTGGGTCTCCTATACACCATCTTGGTGATGTTTGCATATCAAGGTCACCACATCGTCCACAATCTTGGACCAGTCTTCCGAGTCTTTGTCCCTATGATACTATATTTCTGTATCATGTGGAGCACCGCGTTCTTCCTGATTTGGCGCTTGTCAAGGCGCGAAGGCAAGAAGACATTGTGGAGGTATGAGATGGCAGTCGTACAATCGTTTACTGCTGGGAGTAATAATTTCGTGAGTATCATCTAATGGCTTTATGAAAATTCTTCCTGATGCCCTGTGATAGGAACTAGCAATCGCGGTATGCATTTCGGTGTATGGGGTAGGCTCCGACCAGGCTCTTGCGGCGACCATCGGACCATTGGTGGAGGTGCCGGTCTTGCTTGCCTTGACGTGGGTAGCATTATACCTTCGAAAAAGATTGTCGTGGCCAGCGGACGAAGTTGAAGGTTTCAACGACGTGGAGAAACGCCAGGATGGTATCCTTTTTGAAGAGAGACAGTGATAAACCTCTTTCCAGTTGAAATAGCTTGTTCACGGGTATGTCGATCATAAGGGTATACGAGATGAAGTAGGTAGTTAAACGAGACGCGGATTCGCGAATAGCAATGAGAAATGTTGACCTGCGAAAACGGATTCATGAAGGTTTCGGAAGCTGGTCACGAAGAGGTCGATCGCATGTCAGATGTGTTAAAGTGACCCGAGGGACTTTGCTCGTTAGCGGTGCGACGATCAGAAGGTATGACAGAGGTCCCGTTCATGGGTTGATGGGCCGATTGATCATTATGCTGATGAGTGCCATCCTCCCCGCAGTCAAAATAGCCCCAACAACAGACAGTTTCTTCTGCAGACGGAGCCACATCCAACTCTCTATCCCGAGAATCAGAACCAGACTTAGGAGATGGAGGGGATGACTCGGTAGCGTGTGTAATCTGTATGGACGGAACGCTCAAGGATTCCGGTGAGCTTCCATCAACGTTCTGAACATGGTCCCTTGCAGGAGCAGAGTAGGATACTGGGGTGTCAGAGTCCACATACTCCGTCGGAGCCGGGGTAGGTAGATGGAAGACATCCTGGCCGGAAGTATTCATTTGCACGAAAAGCTGGCGATATGGCTGCGACAACTGCTGAAAGCGAGACACCGAGGTCGTAGTCTCTTGGAGCTGATTAAGGAGTTCAACAGCGGCTGCAATCTGTTCAAGAAACCATTAGAGGAACCTGAGACTAAGAAAAGCGGTTGGCCTACAATTTGCGGATCCCTATTAGCTACTACGCCGCTGCTGCCTGTCTGTAATTGCAAATCAGCTATCTCCTGTCGAAGTTGACTATTCTCTTCTTCAATCATCTGACACCTGTTTTCAAGACTGGATACGTATTGTGCTCTCCGGGCACGATATTCACGTTGCTGCAATAGAGCTCGCGACGGGGAGGATGTAGGATCTCGTTTGCGTCCTCGCGGCATATTTGTTTGAAGGTTTAGGGCGAATAGGATAACTCGGAGAGCGACAGGATAAGACAGAAGATGGTCGAGAGCACTGAGACTACTAGTGTAATAGTAACTAGTAACTAGACTAGTGGTCATCATCACCATTATTAGAACTTCATGACAAATATTCAATCACTCAGATCGTGGAAAAGTCCGTGAAAGGCAAGTCTAATGGATGATTGATTCTTTCGATCGCCTTCCAACCTTGCTAGTACAACCTGTCGTCAAACGTTCTCTACAGCCACCTTGTAAGGGTGGCTGTCAGAATGGCACAGGCTGAAACGTATGTCTGCTGACCCTCATAACAGCTGAGGGTGAGAACAAAGGTTTCCCACCCGTCGACGCGGTCTCAACGAGCGTCCCAAATGCCACGTCATTTGTACTCTCCGAACTAGCGGCTAGTTCTTTGACAACGCGTAAAGAGGAAGCAGATTGGTAAGCCTCGCTATCGCAAAGAATGCATCCTTTTTTCTGATGAATATGTAGTTCTGTTTCGGTCGTACTTATCACCATTATCAAAATGGAATTCGATCTTTGGATGTTATCTTGACGGTCTCTCAAATGAATGTGTGCATGCATCTGTATTGCGCCCGAAGATGCCTCCATCTCCTAAGCATTACTATGGTACTTCTATCTGCGAATTTCTACAGGAGGCCAGTGTGCCTGAGAAGTGCAACATGGCAGCGGTGCGTCGTCATGAAGAACTCGAGTAAGGTGATGTGGGTTTCAATCGTCTGCGTAATGCTTTGAACGGCCGATGACATATCATATGAATAGGTGTTTACCTGCATGAGATCGAAATGGCTCTCAGAAGTGAACTGATGAACACCATTTTTCAAGTTACTCTCTAATATGGTCGAAGGTTTATCGATGATAATGATATGTGTCCCGGCGAAACTGCCACAGGCGGTAACAATTTGTTCCACTTTGGCTGTTGTTTGTGTGTCACGCTTTTGCTCGTGACGGCGGCACCACAAAAGTCGCGTCGCGACGCGTGCGACGCGTCTCATCTTCATCTTGTCATTCTCATACCTCCATTGTTACAAACTTCCTTTTGTTCCACTTTTTTCTTCCGTCATGTCAAATACAGCTTCGACAACAACAGCCGTCGGTCATCGCCTGCACACCGTACACGTAATACAAAATGCAAGACTACAAAGAGAGAGCGAGATCGTCCGCAAGGCATATACAGCATCCACGACTGCACTGGTCCTCAACCCATGCACAACCCTGAACGCGGTAAGTTGTCACCCAATTTGGAATTGAGACCCTCGCTAATTCCCAATTCCTCAGGCTGTACAAGATGTGATGAACTTCGGTGACCAGAGGCTCGGTTCCGGTGTCCGGGACCGTTTACTTCACTCACTTTGGGATGCATATGTGGTTCGCCTTCTTCAATTATCAAAAGGCGAATATGAACTGAACTCGTTATAGCTGTGTAGCCAAGACATTGAGGCCGCTTTCAGTGAAAGCCATTCAAACACTGTGTTGTGTCAGATTATTATCTACACCGGCGACGCAGAGGAAGTTAACCTGACTTCAGTTGACGATGTCGTCATGACAGAAATGTACTCTAGGCTGCTAAAGGTAAGCTTTCCGAGACTAATTGAAGACCTTTGTCTGACGTTTTTGTTAAATTAGAATGACACGAATGGAAAGTTAATGTTCAAGCTGAACGTCATTTGCCTAGGTTCTCAGAGTCCTGAAAAGCTAATGGGTGTCGCGGTAATTCGCTTACTTTTCATCATCTTCGTTGCATAACTCAATATGCAATTATAGCTTCGAAAGACAGATTTACGAACTGACCCACTGCTGTATTTCCTTGAGCGGACACTGGCAGGAACAACACGAGTCTTCGAACTTGCAACGATGGTCAACTCAAACGGTACTTTCCTTGTGCTCATGAGGGGAGACGCGACATTGACATGCACTCTCATTCAGGTACTTATACGCTCCCTCTCAAGTACACACTTGCTAGTTCAAAATTGCCCACCTATGCCGTGCCTTCGCGGTACTCCCAGGACCTGGTTACAAACAGTTTTCCCACAGTCGGTAGCTCCTTGCCTCTGAATTGTGCTCATGCTCTACAATTCTACACTCCCCCGGTAGACTCATCGGCCATTTTCGCCGGTAGGGTTAAGGAGTGGCAGTTGAGCCGAAATTTATACCGAGTTCCTAGGACTATCTTCCAAAATTGGCACACGTCACCAGAAGGGAAGGCCACAACGCTCCTCCAGATCTGGTCGAATTCCATTCCACCAGTGCCACAGAATGGCTTTTCAACGACAGCGTGCCCAGTGACTCCCATACCCGTGCAACATGAGTTGCCTACTGCTCCTCCACATCCAAATTGGCCACAGCTCAAATTTACAGATATCGTGACTCCGGAAGCCGAGGCAAGAAGACGAGACCATACTTCCGCCGGCAAGAAACGTAAATGTGAACAGGACCAGAATGAGGAGGCTGCGGGTCAGAAAGCGAAACGGAGGAGGACAAACAAACATGCTGAGACGACGCCTCCGACCTCTGCGCCCATCGTGGAGGCTGGCACGAGATCCAAGAAACCAATCCCCAAACGACAGCCAACAATGGAACTCCCGAGAGATGCGGATAAGCAGTCAGTCAATGACACAGGTGAGTTTTGTATTTTCTATATTCGTTTATCACTGATCATCCTTCGAAAAGGCGTGTCTCTACATTATCCATATATGCCTGATTTCATGTTTGGACCTCAAAATGCCGCTCCGGCATAAGTATACGTCTTCGTGATCAGCGAATACAGCACCCTACTTCGGCAGTCCTTGACGAGACGCGTTACCACTCGCCATTAGTCTAGCTCTCGATATTCATAGACTTTTCTTCGTCGTATTGTAGCATCTGTCTAATTGTAATGGGATTCTCGTATCCATATCTAAAAGTAGATTTACGGACCTGTATCGTTCGCTTTGCCCAGCTTCACCACATTGTCAATATATTACTTCGATACTAACCAGTAATGATTTAGACGGTTCAACCCTTACAAGAGCCTCATGCATCTGCAGAGGCTAAGACCCTTAAATGAGTGCATCACCATTACTCGAGAATAATATTGTAGCCCTAGTTGAACATACAGAAGTTCTCCCACCAATGAGATTCTAAGTGAAAGTTCGCTTCACTCATCACGATGATGATCAGCGTCTATCTATTGTCTTTCCATTTTCTCTTGTTTCAATGTCTGATAACCATCGTAATCATACAGTTAGTCTCGTTCTCTCGTGGACCGACGTAGGAGAGAATTTCTTGTAGCCGAGAGCAGCTCTTCGACAAACTCTCACCAACAAGTGAGTGTAGCCTTCTCCAAATTAATGAGGACACGGACTGACACGTTTATGCTGCTACTAATCATAGCTCTAGGTGACATTCAGATGTTTAGCCCGAAGTCCTATCATTCCTGCTGTATGAATACTAGACCACCTGGATCAATATCGCTGGGACAACGAACCTCGCTGGTCATTGCGTCCGCGACTGGAAATTCTTTTCACATATCATATCTGCTGGCAATTTCTAACTCGCACTTGCGCTAAAATCACAGTACGTCGTTCCCAATTGGAGAGTTTCTGCAATATTTTCCTTCTTCCTGGTAGTTGCCCTTTGATGAAAGTTGTAATTATGACCATGAAGCTAATGAACGGCATGCTGCAGGTCAAAGAGAGAGTGGCCATGCTCGAGACAACAACGTGTTTGGTCCCGCCTTTGACCTTTGGCCCTGTGTATGGCCACAGTCGATACGCTCATCGTTATAAACTCACCTCGAAACCACTACCCCCCGACGATCCCCCACCTATACCGGAATCATCTCTTTCTCCATAAACGCTGCTCTGTCATTCACCACCTTAGTTATTCTAATCCTTTCAACGATGGGTAGCTCTTCCACAATGCCAGCCATTCAAACTGTCACAGCGGTACTTGTCAACCGGCCCAACCAGAAATTGGTGCAGATCATGCACGTCTGCAGAGCTCTAGAGGGCAACTCAATTAGCTCTTCTCACCAACAGGCAATCGTGAACAAGATCTTGGGTACCGTCAATCATAGAGAACCGTCGGCCAGGCCAGCCCTCCTCCAGCTCACCCAAGATACCATATTGTATGGACCTCATGCTCAAGACGACGATGATCGAATGGCTCTCGATGTTGGACTCCTGCGAGGATTACATCAGGCACTCGCAGTGAGTTTCGAGACAAATAGCAGTGCTATGCCGCTAACACTATACTGCAATACTGCCAGTGTATGGTCAAAACATCCAAAGACGCTAAAAGCGCTAGGCCTGAACTCATAGGTGCAGTCCGATATATTATTGTATGGCCCGGTTCGGGCCCAGCCCGAACGTTAGATCAACAATTTGAAAGTCATACGACCAAGGGTGAAATGGAAAATGCATTGACAAAGGTGAGAGACGGCCGTCATGCCCGTTAGCGCACTCTTGCTGATCCGACTGAACAGGCCGGTATCAATGTCAGTGTCATTCTTCCGAAAGGTAAAACTTGGGATTCTCAGGCACTTCCGGCAAGTAGGCTCTTCATATACCGCGCATATTCTAATTCTCTGTGCATAATAGTTGTCATACATAACGAAACTGGAGGACCTTGATCCGGAGGTCGAAGTCTGGGGGATGAGTTCCGAGCGAAACACCGGTAGTAAGATTTGAACTGTTCTGAAACGATGTTCGAACGTATACTTACAGCTACGACGTCGCGTCAAATGAATTTCTAGATGAACGAGTAAAACAGAAAGCATCCGGTGATCATGGATCTTCTAACTTGTCGGGTGCATACATGTCGGGCTTGCAGCTGGAGGGACTTCACAGTCCTGATCCATATGCTCAACGTGCTCAGTTGGTCACTCCTGATCCCGCGCATAATTTTGGGCGGGGCATAGCGACCGTTAAAAGTCCGGAAAAGGCGCTTGCGCGGGGTATGGCACAAGGTCACTATAATCCAGCCGACCAATCACCATATATTGTCCAGCCCCCTTCTGATCCTGTAAAGATTCTGCAAAGTTCGCCTGCCTACAGAGAAAGTAAAGGCGAAGGAAAGGCTAAGCCTCCGACTGGCTCTGGTAAGGCAACTAGTCTATAGATTCAAACCACATAAACGACAATTAACATTAAGATTCTTCTCAGTACACACAAATAACTACAGCTACCATTTTAACGTGAACGGTGTTGATCAGGACTCCTGTGAGTCTATCTCGATGTTTGTTGTTTGTTCAGACCGTTGATGAGTTGCGTAGTGTCTAAAGCCTACCAATCTCTCTCAGTGGCTGAGAGTCCGGACGGAATGTCCGAGGATACCCCTACACATGACGCTGAGGACTTCCGATTTGAGGACTATATCAATATGGAAACAAGTCAAGAGCAGTAGTCGCTTGTGTTGCGCCATCGCCGTGCTAACGTGTCCATCAGTTGTTCCTGTATACCCTCAACAGTTATCGATCATTTCCCATCCTGTTTAAACCTAGATCTGAGTATCGTTGAAGACATGGATTGCTTTAGCAGACCGACAATCGTTGTGGATCTCAGTAGGCGCTGTCTTGAAGTCTCACGAGCGACGAACACCGTTTCTTTGTCTCTCCGACCCTCATTCCAATCAATGCCGACTATTGATTTATTGTTATCCGTACTCCGTCGGAATATGATCCAACGTGCGATGTACACTTTTTTAATACGCTGTCCATCACCTTTGGGCTCGTGCGACGGTCATGGCAGACCGCAGAAGCCGACGAAGTACAATAATATGAACGTCACGCGGTGATCATATCCAATAACTTCCACAATTTGGAGCGTATGCTTTGTGGAGCTGACCAGAGTTGCTAGACGATGATGACGGTCAGGAAAGACCTCCTTGTGAGAGTTCTTCTTGATAGAACAGTATATAAAGGCTCTCGATCTGAGGATGGTGGTCATCAGCAGTACTCCAGCTGGTAATATACATCCTCTTTCCTTCAACTTCAAGCACCACTGGGACTCAAGATGCGCTTCTCTGCTTACCTTGGTTCAGCACTCGCACTCTTTCCCACTGTTGCGCTCTCACTTACGATCACTCCGTCTTTGCACTCGATCTGTGACTCACCTTCCCTGGTGTCTGAGACTCAAATCGGTGAAAACAAGGATGTGACTGTTCAAGCCCTCAAATGTGCAAACACCATAACAACTGCTGCAGTCAACGAAGCTCGCATTCGTGACCTCAGTTCGTTGGAGAAACGACAGGTCAATGTTTGCACTACGGATTGTACGTATCACGAAGGTATTTGAAGGATGTTATTACTGAGTTTACTTCCAAAAGGCACTAGGAACTGTTTCACTCCTTCTGGAGGAGGGCCTGACCCGAACGAATGTCACGTTATATCTGACGCCCTTCTGTTCAACAGCGAGAACATCGGTAAGTTCTTTACTCACGTTTTCATGTAATAATACACCGTTCTGAGTAACAATACTCGTATTCAGGTGACCTATTCACTATTCCGGCCGATGCTGCTGTGGTCACGATGCAGTTCCGTTCCTGCCTTACCTTCTTTGTCAACCAGGCTGGTGTAGACGAGCAATTCTGTCGTGCAGACTGGGTACGACAGTGTTTTACTCCCATGCATTCTGATCGTATCTTATTTACAATGTGTCGTTTCGTTAGGCCTCCATCATCGACAACGTCGCGTTCAATTGTCAGGCTCCTCAGAACGCTCATGGTGGAAATTGCGTCCCTCAAGATCAGAGATGGTTCATTCAGTAAGTTCGATTGTGCACTTACATCGGGGTATCGTAACCAACACGTCTTGTCTCAGGGTGCAGAACGTCAATGCTTAAGAAGACGGTCATACCTCGTTACAAACTATCGGGAATGTTCGTGGACGCTTGACATTATTCTTACATATTGTACGGACTCTATTCTCTGAGCTTACTACGTACATTTTACTATCTTGATATGATTACCCTCACTGTGGATGGTGCTCGAGTTACTTGACGGAACATCTGTACACTCGCTTCCTCCTGTTTTGGTATCATTGAGCAAACAAACCATCAGTCAGCCACCATGGTGGTGAATCATCGCTGATCTGAACCCGCTTGTAGGTGCGGAAGCCTATTCAGTCTGGTACTCTGTAACATCTGCTCAAGGTATCTTACTTGCAACCCACCCAGACGACTGTGGGACATTGTGACTAGAGGATTCCCGGACTCTCGCGGCTCACCGATAATCTGTGGTAAGAGCATGGCTCCAGCAACAGAAACATCATGAAGGATGCGCATTAGAAGATTGATAACATAACCACTACGCTGCTCTACAGATATAAAAGATGAGGCTCAGCCTATGTATAGTCAGTCCATTGACGGTCCAAAAGAATACAGCCACAAAGAAACGAAAAGGGAGTAAGCCATATCATAGCTAAGAAGTCTGAACTCTGACGAGAATAAGACTAGTTAGCTTAGAGTCTGCCGTATAGGTAGGAGAGAACGTACTGTATGTACCATCTATTGTCGTTTGCAACGCATTCACCGCCATGAGCGTTCTGTTGAGCCTGACAATCGAACGCAATAGACTCAGTAAGTGAGCCCTACGAAAAGGATAGAAATGGTGATCAGTCAATCACCATTGAGTAACTTGAAACCAGAACTGTAACATACCCAGTCACTGAGGCAGTATTGTTCATCAATGCCAGCCTTGTTGGCGAAATAGGTCGTGCACGAGCGATATTGCATTTTGATTACGGAATTACCGGCTGGGATAGTGAAGATGTTGTCTAAGGATGGAGTGTGAGATAAGCGCGAACATGAGCTGCAGGTGTTACTGTAAACTTGCCGTTTTTTCGATTCTTGTCTAACAAGTTAGCAATGACCTTACAGTCAAAAGGATTAGGTCCTCCTCCAGCAGGTTGGAAGCACTTCGTTGTACCTTGGAATGAATGGTAGGCTTAGCATGACGTCGCAGAGGCAGTAGAAAGAGGCTTACAGCGGGCGCCGCAGATGTTCACGGATCCACCCCTCTTGTCTACATCAGAGCGCGCGGTGAGATCGTTAGCACAGCGGATGTTCTCGACCTTCACGTCCTTGTCTTCGCCGATGTATGACTGAGAGACGACGGTGGGGGACTCGCAGAACGAGAGCGATTCGGAATCAACAGCAGTGGATAGTACTGCCGCAGGCAGGAGGGCAAGCAAGAACAAGAATCGCATCATTTCAAATGATGATGGGGATTAGAAAGTGTGGTATGTGGGAGTAGTGAACGAAGGTGGATAGGGTCGACCAAGCAGCATTGGGGTGACTTTTATACCTTCTCGGCGGTCCCGTCGAGGCTGACATTCACCACAACCCGGACAGTCAGCCTCCAAAACAGAGACAAAGCTTGGACATTTGAACCGGCACGCAGACACAGATCAACACTTAATCCGTATCGTTATTGAGAGCCAAGGCCCATGTCCAGACATCCTGTTGAATTCGCATAACACTCCAACAACATAATCAAAATTCACGTACGGAGCACTCGCACAGAGCAGCAAACAAAGGGTTCGAACTTCGGCGATCCTGCCATATGTGCTTTTCTAGGTGTCGTTCTGAGCATGGTCTGGTATGAAATGAGCGACTTGAGACGGATGCTTCGCCGTCGTCCTTGACATCAGCTACAGATTGCAACTGACAGTGCAGAAAGGACATCGAAGATAATCATAAATAGAGCTGCCTAGGTTATTGACTATGTGACTGTTTAAGTGAATTTTCGTGAGTTGGCTGAACCCTAAGGCATGAGATAGCTTCCAGAATAGAGATAGTCCAGAATTGATGCGCGGACAAAGCCTGCATGACCGTCGAAATACTACAGTGCGTTGCATAATACTTTTCACATTCGACCCGCACAACGTTTGTTTGTTCCGCGCAAACATTACCATTTGAGGTGATTCCTGTGACCATCATCACCAGGGTCGCATGGCGAGTATCGATTGCAGCGAGATGTTTACATTTGTTCTACAATGGCTCCAACTAGTTCACACTCGTGCGCGTGAACTGCAAGAAAATGTAGCAATCTGCTGAAGGGAAACCTGTCAGTCAAATAGTGGACCTCATTGGTTGTAGTACTGTACAGTCTACAGTGTTCTTGCGAGGTCTCGTTGAAATGGCGCTGTCGAGAGTGTGAGTTCTCAAACATGAGGTCGCTGTCATGTATTCATCAGGGAATTCACACACTCTGCACAGAATTGCATGTACACACAAATCCATTTCACGAGCTGCACCGGAGCGTAATGAGGAGTTCAGTGGCATGAGAAAATACCTGAAGTAATACTACATCTGATTGGGTGAGTCAAGTGTTGATGACTTGACCAGAGTGACACCTACACACAGGGATAGAACAGAAACCTTTGACATGCCTCAACCATGTTTTTATATCCCCCACTTTGGCCCCGCCAATCCCATGATGCTCCACCCACTGAATATAAAATACCAAAAATTCTCACAGCAGAGTGACACTGAACTAGAGCGATGCAGACAGTAAGCGAGAGCAAGCAAGTGTCTTCAAACTTCAAGGGTTTTGGTGGGAACCAACTAGGCTCATTTGCGTAGACGGTCCCCAAAGATCCCTCTCTTCATGCTCCGAACATCGCTCAAACTGGAGTACATGATGGAAAGCAATACAAGGATCCATACTTCAGTGTCAGCCACTTTGGGGATAACCACAACCAGAATATAAGAGTTCACAATAGAAGAACTATGGAGATATGTTGTAGACCATCAGACTACATCAATGAAAGAGCTGAGGACCGTTGAGGCTCTGCGATGAATGGACGATATAATGTGTGATGTCTACATCACAGCTTTCACCTCAAATGGTAATATTTGCACAGAACAAATAAACATTGTGCACATTGAATGTGAAAAGTATTATGCAATGCACTGTAATAGGTGATAAATCGATGATGGTAGGAAGCAGAATTCGCATACCAGCATCTCAGCGACAATACGCTCATCTGCGCTGACAGAAACCTTGCTTGCCTTGTATAGCAAGCTGGAGTGAGAAAAACCCGGTGAGCTCTGGGCGCTATGTGGAACCAATCAAGAGCAAACAATGCGATACATTGATTACTATGCATGGCTTTTATCAAGGGTATATAAACCCTGGCTGAAAAGCTTCCCTCTGTACTCCCACCAGCTTTGACGCCGCAATGAGTATTCCCAAAGCCCGACTATATGTATTGAATGAGGTCCATTTTATGGGGCTGCACCTTCAAGATATGATGGAGCTTGCCCTGACCACTATGCAGTTGTAGATCAACTGCTTCACAGTTGATGACAACCTTCAGTTGTCTCAGATAGTCAGTATACTTAGAGCTATTTAATTACAATCTGCATTCTATTTTATTAACTACAATATATTATACATTATACTCAGATAGATCTACATTATAAGTATTGAGTTGAAATCCTAGTGTGCTTAAGTGATAATTCTCATGCTCTAATACTTATCTCATTTCTGAAACATTGGCTCTCTGAAGTCTGCTAATTGAAAAATCATATCTAAAGATCAAGCTAGCAAGAGTCTTGACACATAAAACTGCAACAAAAGAAAGACCTGGTACAAAGTTCTTCTTATCAAGATCAACAACAACTTCATCAAGTGTGAGACCTTGACTTTTGTAAATTGTAATTGTCCAAGTCACAGTAAGAGGAAACTGAGTGCATGACAATGTTATGCCATTCTTTTCTCAAATTGATTATATTGAAATAATGAAAACAATTGGATCACCATCAATTACAGTCCATTCATCATGTCTAGAATCTATAGTTTAAAAATAAGATAATATCTAAGTACTTATTATAACTCTACTAATCTATGTATACTATTGAGGAAATTCTTACTAGAATTATAGTTGGATGATCATCATTTCTAGGATCTTGATTTGAGCTGTAGATAATTCTATATATAATGCCTCTTATACTATTTACCAAATCTAAAACAATAGAGTATAAGTAAAAATAGACTATAATTAAAGAGAATCTTACCTGTATTTATTCAAATATTATGAGTAATTATAACTGCAGCATCTTCAGCAAGAAGTAATATCTTTTCAAGTTCTTCAGCATCTTTCTCAGAAGCCATGTATGCATTAGCTCCTCCTTAAATGCAGTGACAGTCTGTCTAGTAGAAAGAAGATGTAATGCAGTAGAGAAATATTCTTTTTTATCTGCAGAGAGCCTAGTCCATAATTGCCTTAAAAATAGATTATAGTCCTGTTCATCAATTTTGTATTCTCAAAGATTTAATAGAACACAATGTAGTGCAATATAGTCTGCATCTTACCCTGCTTGTCTAAATATAGTTTGCAAAGTTACTAACTGATTGAATACTTCAAATGCTCAATGTTCCTGATTTGAGATAGATTTCTTTAAAGGCTTATTTGAATATAGTGATTCATCTTCTACTGAAGAAAGTTGATAGAAATCTCTAAAAGGTAAAAGACATTCTTTTCTAAAGAATTCTCCTTCATATTTAGAAAATATCTATCACAGTTTGCAATCAACTTTTTCAAACATGACATAGCCAATTATTAACTTCTCATTAATAATAATAAGTTACTTATTCTTTTATCTTAATTGTAAATGGCCTAGTGCTGCAGATAAAAGCTCATTATTCTAAGTCTTTAGAGGTATAGCTAGCCCAAAGTTGAGAGTCCATCCTCTAATACCAAAAGCTGTAATATCTATAAAAGCCAGTTATATTGTTAGATTTATAATTCCTGTTTATGCATTATTCTTTTTAATTCTATTATAATTGCCTATATTAGATAGGATTTTTCAGTTTCTGCTGTTTCATCAATATTAATTCTTAGTGGCTCTAAGTATTGATCTTCTATAGTAACAGCTTTAAACCAAGCTATTACTTGTGGAAAAATCTCTCTCTGAGTTCCTTGCAGTGTTCTAAAGTCTACTTTGGAAATCTCACTTTTTACATCATGAGAATAATGTTTTCTTTGAGTTTCTATTCAGGTCTCAGCAAATTGAATATTATTTATACTCCATCTATGATTATGCCAATTATAGTTACTATCCATATCTCTTCTGCCTAGATTTGATATATGGATTTGTATCTGCTAATTTGGTGCCATATCAGCTTCAATCATTCATTCAAGTTGTACATGATTATTTTCTTCTTCATCTGTAATACTGAATTCTAAATCATCATTCTTATTAGATACTGCTGATAAAGTAACTAAACTATCTGAATCATATATAAGATAACTATTTTAATATGCTTCATAGGCCTCTTTTCAAATCTCAAAGTTTTCTTTAAGATCTGAAGATTCTTTGATAGCACAGTGATTATTAAAGGCATGATGCAAAAGTATTTTTGTATAGCAATATCTTTTATAACTCTCTGTATTTTCTGAAGAAGATAAAGATCTAGGTCATATCTTAACCACAAATGGTTTGGCACTTCTAGCATCTCTAAGTTAACATCTTTGATCTTTTAATTTATAGTTATAAGTATACTGTCATAATATAATATAATTTAGATATATAGGTCTTTTCTTATAGTAATCAAGAAGTGTTTTTCTTGAGTGTGTCTCAGCAGTGTCATCTTCTGAAACAATTTTAAGCAATTCTATAGTATTAGAAAGAATATATAGAGAATAATAGAGTCTAGATAAATTGATAAGCTTGCAGTCTAGTGCAATATAATATACTTCTTATACTGAATAGTCTCATTTACCCACCAAAGCTGATAAAAGCTTTTGATAGATTATATTTATTTAAATATTATTATCTAAATTTGTAAAAATCTTTTGCAGTATTTGTCTATATATTGAAGATTATGTTTCAGCTTTTATGACACATTTTACAATATATGCTATTATAGCTGTCTTGCTAATAACAGATCTCCAATCTATATTTACTCTTTAACCTAAAATCCTCATTATATTGAAAGAGTTTAGAAGAGGATTATTTCTCTTAGTAATAAATTCAAAAAAGTTAGTGTCTGCATTTTTTTACCACTTGAGTAATATCTACAAGAGATTGTGAATACTTGAATCTACACTAATTTTCTTCTATGTACTTATTTCTATAAAGACAATAACTTAAACATTTAAAGTATCTTTAAATTCTATTAAGTAGCTCTGCTAATTTACTCCAGGTATTTTGTAGTATTGTAAAATCTCTTGAAGAAGAATGAACTTCAGCAGATAAATGATTCTGAGCAGGATTCATAGTTGAGACTAATGAATTTCAAAAGTTGATAAACTCTCTAATAGATTCTTCATTTTCAAGATCAAGTGCATCAACATTTAGTACATCTTTAAGCCAAAGAAATTTATAGATATAACTACTGCCTCTATACTGCCATTCAAATCTATATCACCAATCTATAATATTAAACTTCTTATGTAGAACTTTATCAAAGAAAATTTGCACTCTTTTTTAATAATAGTATGCAGCAATAGTAGAATTCTCATTTAGATTCTTTATTTTTTGTTGATAGCTATCAGCATTATTTTGAGGCATATGGTCATGAAGATCTAGCTATTAAATATCTACAGCTGAAAGAGTAAAAAAGATATATAGAGTACTAATAGTTGGCTCTCATATTTGAGCATTTAGATCACTTATTCTTATCTGCCAGAATGAATGTATGTCTTTAATTCCAGCAGCAGATCTAGCAATATATACAGATAGCTATTCTATATTGCCCTCTTTAAGTATTTGCTTAATATCTTCTACTGTCCATTTTTGCTCATTAAAATATATTCAAAGATACCAACTTGAGTTCTTCTTTGCTGTATATCTTAGGATAGTATTTAGAGTCCAATAGCAAAATCTTTCATATCTAGCAAAGTG